AGTTCCAGGTAGAACTAAAGCGTTGGTAGTCTCCTGCGTCTAAGAACATTTGACAGAAACCTAGAACTATTCATTTAGGAGACCCTGACCAAACCTTCCCAGTCAGCACCACAACCCGCATTGTACTGCCACTTCCGCAGGCAATACAGAGCCAAAGCCCCTCTCAGCCAAGAATCCACTATTGCACTCGACTATCATTTCTGCAGGCAGTAGAAACCGTGTTGGAGTCAGACAGTGACGCTTATCACAAGGTGCTGGTGGGTGGTGCAGCTCCCTTGCTCAAGAACGTAGTAGCTTAAAGCTTTTTTCCGATGGTTTCTTGAAAAAAAGCAGTTTCAAGTGGCAAATACATACAGAAACTGAGTTGAGGCGGCACTGCTTCGTTGTGAGGTTTCTGGCTGGACCTTCACAGCTGGCAACAGGTCTGACTAGTCTCCCCGCACCGGACGAAAATGATTATATTTTCCTGAGTTTCCGCTCAAACCGTGGTTTTATAACAATACTGCGTGTTAGAAGCAATGTGTTAAGAGAGGGGGACAGGAAAAGCGAAGGCAGAAAACTTTTCATATCGGTCTATGCTCTTGGCATGTGGCCTCTCCAGGCCAAGACTCGATAAGGCTTCTCGCGTAGTGTCGAAAAGCCTTCACTTCTTTTAGTGCTCAAAATGAGGCACAATGTAAAGCTACTCTGTGCAACCCTTGAAATCTCCTAGTCCTCCCGTAGGAGATCGGCGCAAAAAGAGCATTTCCAGCTGAGTTGCGCAAGCAAATCTCAATCCATGGTTCAAATGTTGACAGTTTGGCATAGCCTTCAAGATGTCCCTGCGTGTTCACCTGCATTAAAAGAATGTAAGTCATAAAGCAACTCAAGTTGCCGTAATTCATCGGTGCTCTAGCACTTCGTGCTGTTCTGAAGAGCTTTAGTACAGGGCGTCATTTGTGATGGGGAATTCAGTTTTCACTTCAAAGAGTGCATGGTCTACAGCAAAAATATTCGAGAATACACTCCGTCTCCTGTTCTCTCTCTACGCATAGCAGCTGCTTCGCAGTTGCGTATGTGCCCTAATTGTTCGTTTTGTGCTGATGCGTGACGAAAAATGCCAAAATCTCAGCTGAGTAAATCCGTATATCCCAATGTATCGTTATTGTAAATTTTACTTGCGGTTACGGTGTCGAGACTATGTCCAAAGTAGGAATTGGTTTAGGGCTATTGTCTCGCCGGCTTCTTGTTCCAGGTACACAGAGGCGAATGAAGAAGGTTGTATATATGCGAACGGACTTATAGCAGTACACATACTTGAAGACTCCTAGGCATTGCTGGCGTGGTGGCATCCCCGAGAATCTGGAACTGTCTCCTGCATTGGAGTGCTTGGGCGGTGAGCTAAGTGCTCTATTCCTTTTGATACGTCGAGCAGTGCTTAACAGCGGCAGTTAAGTAGCGCGTACACTGCATCTAATCCCAAAACACGTGAAACTTGACGCCTGCGAGCACGGCGGATCCTCCGAATCTCCTTGTGTTATCTCATTGGTGTCGTCACGCGTTCCCTTCCCCCCATACTGTCGTGGTACTGCAGTAGTGCACCCTGTGCAGTGCCTAGAATGCGCGCAACTACAGTGTAGCCGATAGATGGTCTTCAGGGTCACAAAATGCAGAATAAGAACACTGGGGTAGTAAAATGGAAGTGAGAAGCATGCAAACAAAGAGACCCAATGCTCAAAGGAGATGGTATGGTGTGTTCTGCAGCGAGGCCCACAGTCTGGAGCTGGAGCCACTCAACGGCATCCCTTTCCACTTGAAAGAACTCCATGCACACGCTGTATGATGCTGTAAGCAGCGTTTACTCGATTGCAGGACCCTACAATTTGTCGAAATCCCAAACACCTTCGAGTTATACTGACGCATCAGCCTATGGAAAACGGGTGGCACCTGGCTTCGTCAAAATAATCAATGCACTACCGAGAGCATTTTGCCGTATTCATCGTCCAGGACAACAATGGTCTCTTACTGCGTGCCGCTAGGATTACGGCGCATAACGATTATTCGATTCTCACTCACTTGCAGGAGCTCAGTTTGTCGAAGCCTTTACATGGTCGTATTTCTAGAATGTTTCATTTAAAGAGCTCACAACCACATCACTTGCAAGATACATAACTAGGCGGCTGATGTAGTTCCACAGAAAACTGGCTTACAACAGTCTCAGGAAACAAGCACACTACGCAGCGATTGCAGGCAAACGTATCCGTGAACTCCGAAAGCCCGGCAGCTTGCAACCACGTTTAACTGCTTCCACGAGCGAGAGCCCACACGCAGCACCCCTCGTTCCTTATCTCTTCCACAGTCGCTTTTCATGGTGCAACTTCTTCGTCACTAGCGTTACAAATTTTTGCAGCGCCATTTTCAACGCTCGCTACAAAAGGAGAGGCCCCATTTTCTTCACACGCATAGGTCTTGGCTTATGAGCACTATCGGATCTTCTTCGAGCGGTGCATTGCTGCAGCTTACAAAGTAGAAGAAGAAACCAGTACGTCGCGCACCCGCCGCCTCTTTCTTTTTCTACATGTCTTATGTGCGGATCTGCACTCACAGCGTGTGCCGCTCCTACCTAAAATCCTTACGCAGGTGCTCCACAAGCACCATGATCCTGCGACAGCTGGCTATTCTGGCCAGACAGAGACCATCATAGTTGTTCGCAAAAATTCTGCTGGCCCGGCATGCGTACTTATACTACAGTATACTGAAAATCCGGCGTCTACTGTCGCCTTCCCAAAAACATCAACCAGAAAGATCCCTTCAGCCGCTGGCGCTGGCCATTCCCTCACGTTATTACAACAACGCCAGTCAAGATTTAGTATATGACCTGCTTCTCATCATCCCGGATCATGGCTCCATTTTTGTGCCCGTGAATTCTCTCAGCACAATGGCTCATTTCATTCCCAAAGACGATATAAGCTAGCACCGTTCGATTCCTTTTGTGCCTTTTGTGTACCTTATTCTCAGAAACTGCCCCTATGGTCCATTGTCCTGGAGCTACTTTCAGCTGAACATGCCCCCTAAGTCCTTCTGTTAGTGTCTTTGTGCGATGACACTTGAACGAAGGAGGTACTCGCAGCGGAGGCGTCTATTCGGGGCGGCTCAACCGTAAAGACGGAATTCCTTGTTGTCTTGAGTAATTTGGCCCTTCTCGTCATGCCAGGGGTCAGTTACCTTAGTGCACCGCGGCATAGCCCTGTTGACATCGGGTTACAGGCCTCGTCTTCACAGCACAAAAAGATCACTCGAGGCTCAAAATGGCTTACTTTATGAACCAGTATTAACTAACCAATAGCTCCCTTGCTCACCACACACTTAAGAATAAAAAATGGCTAATCTACCCACCACAGTGCCAACTAAACGGTTTCAAGTCAAGTCAAGCTAGTCATAAAAGGTATTTTTCTCTGTTAATTCGTGAGCAAAATAGTCTACCGAAGCCTCTGGACTCGTAGACCCGTGCACCGTTGCATACGAGAGACCACGTCTAGACTTGTGTGATAAAGTAACTAACCCATTTGTTTTGTAGCTCAAAGTCCCACAGCTAACGTTCTCCATGGAACTAGGAGTAGCTTCTTTCCAACCTGCACCTGCGGCAAGTATGGTGGTGTCCAGGGCCTTGTGAATACTTTCATTTTCGCCTTTGTATTAAAGACTTGTATCGCCACAGTGGTGGCTCTTTTATTCGCAGTACCGCGTGAGTACAGGGATAGCAACTCAGACAAGCTGAGCTGATGCACTTTAAAATAGCATTCATATTTAGTATCTGTTAGCCACTGGCACTCCTCTGAGCCTCCACTGACGGAGCTCAGTCCCCATAAGCCAGGTGCACTCCGCTGAGCCTCCGGTGAAAAGCAGAGGCTCAGCGGAGTGTCAGTGGCTTATCGATACTAAATATTAATGGTATTTTAAGGTGTATTGCACTCACAATTACTATCTGCTATATATTGGCCCTGCCCCTCCAGTGGACCAGGCCAAATATTTCCTACATGACTCCTAACTGGCTACGTAGGTACAAGCATGCCTACTAACCGCTAAGTCACCGGCTGAATCCATAAGAAACATTCACTGATATTTTCCCTTCTGTCTTGCGCTTTCAAGGAGGTTTTTCGTCCGTCTCGTTCTGCGTGGCATGGCTGGTCGCATCTGCGATACCTTAAACCTGGCAGTGCTGCAGAGCACGCAACGTGTAGTCTGCTGCAAGACCCCGGTTTGTTTAACTGGAGATTCGAATTTGCATGGTATTTATAGCAATGAATGTAAATACCTTCGGAATTGTTCTTTCGCGTCACTGTAGTGCTGCGAAGTGAATCCCCTCTGAGATTGCACTGGACCATCACCACAACACGATCTATGCTTTCGTCGCCACCGATTACAGTCATACCGCGACTTCGTGGAATATAATATCACAAATAAGAATTATAGTGAAACGTGGGTGCTCAGCTACGAAAATCCCCCACTCAAGCTGCAGCGGATCTCTTCTATCATCTCCCGCAAGAGCTACCAGTGGATCGTCATTGTGTCGGCCGTGAGCGGGCTGAGCGAGCACAGGCATAGAAATAATAAGTTGCCTTTAGAATGTATGCAATCAAATTTGGACCATTTATTTGATCCGATGATCTCGATCTCCTGTTAAGTGCCTACATTGGCCTTTAATGGGGCGCGATGGAGCAAGAGCCTTGCGACGGGTTGATAGAGAGCATTCACATCGCATTGAGAGGCTTTTAGATGGGAAAAGCCCACCTTTGGACACACAATTCGCATCGGAAAACTGTCATGATTCTTGCTTCGAGGTAGCTGAGACTGTACACGACGTTACGTGCCTCCCCCGCATGCGGTGCCGTTTCTAGCTCGTGTTTGCCTGCATCAGTGTCCAACAGCAGCACAGTGGAGAAGAGCTTGAAGAAGCGCAGCCGCCATTCGATAAGCATTTCACCACTGCGGTGACCGCTAGGGTATTCTCCCATGCAATAATGGACCGAGACCGTCGCTCCGTTTACGCCGAAACTGACTTCAGGTCATACACTGGCAGTGGCAACAATTATTTCCTCTTGGATGGTCAGGATGAAGAGGAGAATCCTCAGATGCCAGAACTGCGACTGTCGCGGCGGGAATTTCGGATGAGGCACAGGAAATCGACAGCTGGTTCGCGGGGACTCAACAAGAGTGTCTCGGAGCCTACAATGAGGGCGTGGATTGCTGGTTTTCTGCTTTTGTCCTTGGCATTATCCATATCTGTGGCTAGCCTTAATAGAAGCGAGGAAAAGCAGCAGAAGCAACAGCAAAACACTTTGCCCGCTCACGAACCGGATGTCCGAGTCCCCTCAAGCCCCTCATACAGTGCATCAGCAGCTTACGGTGCTGGAGGAGATGCAGAGTTGAAGCAAGAGAAACTGCCTATGACACGGAACCTCCACCGCACCTTCCTGTCTCTCAGCCTCACAGAGGACAACGGGCTGCTGCGAACCCTACAGGGCCCCGAATGGGGACCAGCAAAGGAAGCGCTGCTGCGTTCAGTGGACTTAGTGCTGGAGTGTCAGCCGGATGAGTTTGAAGATACAGACAGTAAAGTGGAGACTATGCGGCTGATGCTTGCGATGGACTTGGCGTGTCTTGAAAACGCAGCGGTGGAGACCAAGCTGGCTGTAGACAATGCGAGGGCCAGTCAGTCGGATAATCACAGCGAAGACATAGCTGCAAAAATAAAAGCGAACATCGACGCGAGGAGAAAACAGTCTAGAGCAGCCGAGCTGTGGGAGGTAGAGGTGCTGAAAGGCAAGCTGGGATCCGATCCCGAACTCAAAGCAGCGCTTGTCAAGTTGTTGCTGGCCGTCCGCAGCAGAGCAGCATCAAGTGAGTACCTCAGTGCTACTGTTGGCACTGTGATGCTGCAGAGCGACCCGAGCCCCCACAGCAAGGCTGAGGAGAACAGGGCTTATGAAGGTCAGACATTTTTACTCAAGGCTGGGCAGCTGGCTGCCACTGATAGTCACATTAAAAAGAATGTGGTTCCCTGGCTAATCATTATATTCACTACTTTTTGAAAGAACAACTATATTCAAACCTCCGTATCAGTGCATATTTGTTTTGTTGCACAATGTCGAAATTACCCGGTAAGGTCGAAACGCTGGCACTACCGTGAAAGACTGCACTTGCAGGAGTAGCAGGTGCAAGACCAGCGGCGGGAGCAGTTGTAATTCCTGAAATTTTCCAGGAAAAGCCCACAAACGAAATGAGGCGATCATTCTTTTTATGTGCGGCCTAACTAATTAGGGGAGCGAGTTAGGCTGGAGTTAGAGTGAGATCGGCGCTTATTTGCTTTTAGCAGCGCTCAATTTTGTGCACCGTATATGTTGCCTATCAGTTTCTTTAGATTACTCATGGGTGCACTGCGCACCCCAGAAACTACTCAAACAATCGAAACTGCATCGTGCCGATCATTTTCTGTCAACTGCAAGGAGAGCCAAGCTGGCAACGGCTGGTAAGTCACCTTGGAAGGCCTAGCCTGTAGCCCTAATTTAGCTTGAGCGCTCAGGAAACCTACGTACGCGACCCCATAGTTTGAAAGGGTGTGCTGATCTGTTAGTCTCTCAAATGACTTGAAATACTCGCAGCCTAATGCTGTGCACTGTCACTTAAGTGCATCTTCCAATTAATGCAGAGAAGCCCTACACTTGGGACGACTGGAAGCGTATTTGTAGGTGACAGGAACTGGACTGTTAAGGGGAGCAAACTACCAGCGAAGTGAAATGAGGCTTAGGAGCCACGGTAGACCTACGAGCGGGCATGTGGTTTAGGGCCCCCTCCACGCAGTAATGCTGTCAAGCAAACTGAGCTATGGTGACGACAACTGAAACCAGGTGACGTAGTGGGGACGATGCTCCTCAATGTGGCACTTTTTAGTTGAGCGGTCGCACGGACAGTACAGAGTTTCATGAACTCTTGAAAGGCCAAGTGTATGGGGATTCTCCTGCTTGTTCCTAAAACTTGCAGAACTGCCCGCTGACATTGTTCCTGTAGAGCTTGGCAAAGCTAGCAAAACACCTTCTTCCCGAGCCCCTTTCTTTGGAACATAGTCCTTATGGACTAGCTAAGAGCGAAGACATAAATTGAATTTATTAATATCGCGATAGCTCTCGAATATTTTCGAGACTTCCAGCAACGCTTGCTTGCGGTGTTGAGGTGGCCCTAATGTCAGGAAGCCATAGATGCAGCACCACTATTGTGTTGTTAGGGTTCGCAGCTGCAACTTCTATCAGTCAAGCAAAAGGCCCTCGGGATATTGTACTCAATCGAGAAAATGTCCTCTGTAGCATGCATCAATGTCATATACTCCGTTTGAATTTGCGGTGTGCTGCGGTCTGACCACAGATCACTCGTTATTTTGCGAAAGTAGTTAAATTGGCAATTTTCTGTTTAAATTGTTCGTGGATTTAGTTATTTTTCTAATTTATCAGTCGGTGCAATTTCATACCATGCGAGAGCTGCGGCAAGTGGGGCTGCGTATGAGTTATGCTGCATGCAACACAGAAACTTCGCAACCTAACCAAAGAACATTAGTTTCATTGAAATATCAAACCAATAATTTATCATTCGAGTATCTTTGACCCCATTTTCTCAGTAAGGGACCGAAGACGTCTACAGCGAAGGTTGAACTTGCGCGGCTCCGTATGAACGCAGCCCCGCAAACGTCTGCATTCACCGATGTTCTGTGTTACGGCAACTCTTCTGTTCAAAACAAATTGTAAGGGATCCTCTGGAGTGCTACGGAGCTGATTACTTGAATATTTGAGGGTTCCCAGACGTCGGAGTGGAGCAGACGACTCTTTTGAGCTAGAATTGCAGTCGTCGATACACTGGGGACCTGTCACCAGTTTGTCCCACTCAGAAGCTCGCCAGTCCTACCTACGCAATCGGTATAGCCTGTCTAAATCCTATTTCGTGCGATATTCATATCCAGTGGCCCCCATCCCTCCTGAAATAGACCTCTTTCTGCCTCTGCGCATATCGATAGTGGCGACAGCGCCAATAGTGCCCACACCGCCTTCGTTCCAACTGCTATTCAATGGCCAGGGGGAAACGGGGGGCGGGTCGCAGGCCTGCTGCTTCGTCCCGCAGCACAGCGGCTTCCCGAGGTGCTTCCCGTGGCGGTGCAGCTGCCTCAGCGAATGCAGAATATATGTCCGACAGCTCTGAGGACTTCTTGCCTCTGAGCGGAGGGAGAAAAGGTGAACAAGACAGCGAAGACGAGACCACAATGATGCAACAGATGGGCTTTGAGGATGCCGAGGACACTGCCAGTGACGAGGATGAGGAGGAAAGCACGGAGGGGGGATCGCCAGAGTCGGAAGAGGGTAGTGACGACGATGACCAAGATGATGTTGACGCTTCAGGTGAACAAAGCAGTTCTTATTTGCTTTCTTCCGTGTGCATGCATCCACTGCTGCCTACGCCAGTCAGACTCGAGTTTAGGTACAGCCAACTACCAACTCCCGCTTCCCCCTTTGTTCATAGGCCGCTGTGGTGCTGCTGGGGGTATCTAGTGGCACTTTTGTTTAAATAAATGAACATCTGCAGTGTTAAGTACCTCTGCAAACATTTGCCTAAGACCTGCACTAGTGCTTTTTCGCGTGTGTTGCTGCTGCCAGATGATGCCGCCGCCAACTCCGCCCCCAGCTCCGATGAGGAAACCCGCACGGCCTGGGGCCGGAAAGCCAAAGACTTCTACGACGAAGGGAGCGACGAGGAAAGCAGCGAAGACGAAGAGGAGCTGCAGGAGAGAGCGGCTGAGGCGGTGCGGGTCACGGAGGTGGAGGAGATGGAGGGGGTCAGAGAGGAGCACTTCGGAGCCGATCCCAGGTCCATTGAAGCGTTGAAAAAGCTGCTCGACATGCAGGGCAAGTCGCTGCCGCAGCAGCAGAAGGGGGCCGACAAAAAGGCGGCAGAGGGAACTGAACAGGAAATGCTGTGGCAGGCGAGGCTTGATGCGGTAAGCCGTTGGCCCCGTGCGAGGATTCACTGTTTGACAGAAAATCATCAAAAAGTCGAACAAGTGAAGTGCAGTTCATGGCTAAGGCCATGAAACCCGTTTCATTCCGAAAGCTAGAGTCCAGTCAGAAAAGGGAATGTCCAGGCCTGATAGGGAACTAATGGACAAGTACTTGCAAGTTTTATAGAGCAACGATCTAGTCATATAGTGGGAGTGGTCGTATTGACACCTTAAAATACTTTGGGTGGATCACTGCATGCATATCTCATGCTTCTCATTGAATTTAAGGTTTGTGAACAGCTGCATAGCGTCGTTACATTTCCCCGTTTTCCCCCCCGACCGCTTTGAGTTCAGGAAGTGGGTGCAATTCTGGATGGATTTGCGGTTTCTACGGAGCAGCAGCAGCAGCAGAAACCGCAGGCGGCAGCAGCAGGCTTGAGTGAAGATGAATTAAAGGAGATAGTGAATACGGCCCACCCCGAGCTGGAGGGGCTGCTACAGGAGCTGCGGGACTCACTAAAGGAAATAAATCAAAAAGTCGAACCGTTAATCACTCTCGCTAAGGCCAAAAGGTTCTTAACCCAAGAGGTGCGTCATTTTAGGTGTACGCGGAACTCACAAACTCACGACCCCGGCACTGCAAGGTCAATTTTTCGGCTGTTACTACCACTTTTCTTGTTATTTGTATTCTTCTGTTTTTGAAATTTTTATCATCTCGCCTGTGCACCTTTTGAATGTGAGATTTTTAATTTTTGCTTTCGGCATCATATGTCAGGGCGTGTCTCTCTTGGACGCCAAGAACCAGCTGTTGCTATCTTACTTGACATACCTTGCCTATTACATTTTGTTGAAGGCGCATGGGGTGCCTATTGCCACTCATCCCGTCCTTGAGCGCCTAATAGAGACGAAGCTACTGCTGCAGAAATTGCGGCCGATTGAAGCAGCACTGAAGCCGCAATTGCAGCGGCTGCTGTCTAGCGCAAGGGAAGGTACGCGGCGCTGTTTCTTGTCCCTTCTGTGTTCTGCGTTATGTAATTGCGTGTTTAAGTCATTGTAGCGTGCAGGTGCATTTATGCCACTGCGCAAATCAGCTGTTATCACTCCTGTACCTGGATAGAAACAATGCATAGGTGTGGTTTATTCTGTTTAGGGTCACATGGTTCAGCGGCGCCTCGCGCACGACCGGAAGCTTTTGCTGCAGTTGGTGAATCTGATGGGGATGAGAGTGGAGATGACAATGGAGATGAAAGTGCAAGTGGGAGTGAAGCCTCAGATGTAGAGGGAGACGAGACCAAACTGTCGCCACAGATGATTGAGATGGAACACATTGCAGATAATGTACGGAAGCTTTCGATCAGAAACTGTAAACCCTGGGGCTGGACTATCTGCCTTCTGGTTCTCCTTTTTCTCCATCCCATTTTCCGTTGGAGTTACAGCCAAGGGCATACAAGATCGCACGTCTTTCTGCTTATTTTGCTTGACTTTGCATGGGTCATCCAGGTTCTTACATTTCCCGTCTTATTCTCCTGTGTTCAGGCCTCAGCATCCAGACGTGCCGCTCGCGAGTTACAACGCGCTGCAGCCCGACTAAAGAAGAGCGAAATGGTGCGGGCAGTGAAGGAAATGACTGGGGATGCTCCTGAGGAAGTAGGAATAGAAAGGTGGTTGGCGGCTAAGGCCCACAAAGAGGCAGCCAGGGAGGCGGGGCTAGTAGGAGACGATGAAGACATGCAGCTGATGAGAAGGTCTTTGTCAAAAAAGGAAAGGAAAGGTAAATTTGCGCATGTATGGGTCTACATGGAGTATGTTTAGGATTAATGGCGGATATTTCTCTGTTCAACTGTACTCACTATTCCTGTTGAAGGGTGGGGAGGCTTTGTGGTTGGGTATGGGGGCGCAGCTGCCCTGAAGTGCACAGAGTGATATATCAATATTACCTCAATTTGAAATGAAAAGCGAAGTTTGCCTATTGAAGTTGATCGCGAAGAGCGCACGGTTGACACAAACGTCCACTGGTTGTGCATTAAAGGTGTGGATGCTTGCTTATATATGCCCATGTAACTTCAGATGGTGCTCGTATACAGCTACAAAGAGACGCTTACAAGTAGTTGTCTGTAGCGCTTTTGAATAGAACTACGGTTTCACTCGTTGTCGTCGCTCATCATGCTGCAAATTGCGCCACGGTTCAGAGCCTACTTAAGTATCTATTAAGCCGAGAAGATTAGAGAGGCAACGCCCTTTAGCTTCAAGCTGTAGGTATTGTTTTTATTTTGAGGTTTGTGTTTTATAAATATAATTGCATTCTTTTTGCGGTGGTTTGTGCACAGTCCAAGCCGCTCAGCGCGCGCTTTTTGAGCGCCGCGCGGCTCTTTCTGTTGGCTCTACCTTAGAGGATTTATCAATTTTTTGTGAAGAGGAGTTGGGGGGTGTTGGCGAGGACGACGATGGACCCTTTGACTTGCAAAGTAGAGGGAAAGGGAAGGAGAAAACCCGAGGGAGGGGCATGTTAAGTCACTATTTGAATGCAGCAAAACAAGCAGCAGAAGAAAACAAGAAACTGAACAAGGCGTTTGCAGAGAAACTCGTCATCGCCAGACAACAAAATCTTCAACATTTGAACAGGAAGAACCATAAGGAAATGGACAAGTGAGGGAACGGGCTTCATTCCCAGGAGATGAGGTGTTTGCTCATTTGCAAAGTGTTCAAACTCACACAGTGCTGTCGCTGGGCTAGTTTCCGCCAAAGTTTATAGTGAAGCACAGAACGGAGTCTACTCTAATGCCTCAGCGTACTAAGTATTTGTATGTAGGCATGTACGGTGTATTTATAGCAAATCTCCGTGCAACATTTAACGTCAAATGCACTGGTTAGCGTAGTGCCCTGAACACAACACGGAAGGTGATTTATATCGATTCAGGTCAGCTCCAAAAAAAACGACAGCAGGGTCGGAAGAAAGTGAAGACGAAGAGTTTGCGCGTTTAGTTGAGGAGACAAAAGTGCGAAAGGAAAAGAAGAAGCAACAGATGAAAGAAAAGGCGGAGCAGTTCCTACCAGAAAGTGAACCGGAATTTGAAGGAAGAAGGCGTGAGTAGGCTGTAAACGTTGTACTGTTTCACTTAGTGTATGCGTACCAATTCAATACTCAAATGGTTTCCTCTCCTGCTCTTCCGTTTGTGTTTCTAGGTGCGTAGCATACTGCTATTTCCGTCTTCATTCAGCCGTAGTTATTCTTTGACAGTTTGATGCATGGATGGATAAGTTCCTGTTTGCTTGGGTGTGTCGTTCGTACTGACCTTCGGCGCGAAGTTTCACTTCAACAACTTGTTCATGCGCATTTTGTTGATATTTTTGTGCAGTACTACTGTGGGTCTTCGTACAACTGTGTACATTTCACTGCACACGTATGTAGTAAAAGTTTATATTTATATACGCAAATGCATGTATACATGCATACAGTGTATCAGCGTGTGCATTTGCTTACGCGAATTCGTGTGTATATTTGAGACACTACATCTTAATATACGCCAGCTGTGCACTCGTGCACGTGAGCATGTTTATCTATCGTGTAACCACTGAAAGCATTACTGGACAAATCTGTACTATTCTTACCATTAGTATCGATTCCTTTAGCTTATTTGTATTCCATGTAGACGTGACGAAAGAAATAATGGCGAATAGAGGGCTCGTGAGGAAGCGAAAAAAGTATGAGGGAAATGCGCGCGTCCACAACCGAATGAAGTTCGAACGGAAAACGAAGAAGCTCAAAGTGAGACTCACTCGCTTGCCTGTTTGTGCTTGTCGTTCCGTTTTCCCTGTTAATATGGTTTACTTTGTCCCTTTCGCTTTAGACCGTTTCCTCTAGCGCTCCCTCTGTCGGGTCTACTTCTTTCTGCTCCGCTTAAACGGTTTGCCATGTGGTGCTCTTTGGCACCCATCGGCGATGATAGGCTTAACCAGCCGGTATGCGAGTTGTGTTCTATATCTCCTTTCTCTCTGCAGTCACTGAGGCCAGAAATGCGTGCAGTGGAAGACCGGAGCTACGAAGGCGAAGTTTCTGGCCTGCGTGCAAACCTGAAGAGGTCGCGAACACTGAATTGAAGCTCCTGGCACTTGTCCCAGCTTAGCTAATAAGCAATTAGTTGTCTACTCTTCCAATTTTTTTCCTCTCTGAAGGGACTTGGGCAACCGCCTCGCTACACCTGACTTGCTGCTTTATTTCGTTGCTTTTCGTCAGCTGACTTGGGTTTTCCGTAGCTATACTTCAATTCAGGTCGCAAATGCAGTTGGGGTATCAGTCCTAGTGTATGCTGGTTGAGTTCAGGTCAGTGCCCGTCTTGAGTTCCTCAGAAGTATGATAGGCTTTGAAGTTGAGTTTACTCTGAAAGATACTGAGTTACGTGAATCCAAAGCTTTCTTGCTTCTTCGTGCTGTCAAATTTCGATTCTTCCGGAACCCGCGGATATGTCTACACTGTGTAAAACCTGCATGGATATTGGTGATAGTGATGGCAGTAATTGCAATTAGCTCTCAGTAACACACATTACATCGTACGAGCAACCAGCCTACTGCTGGGGCTCGTAGGGCTTGAGATTGACAGTGACAGTGTAGTCTTGCTGCTCCGGGTTGACTTGCACCTCAATGGGCTCGCTTGTGACCAAATCGCCCTTTCTGGGGGTGCGCTCCTCCTCCTGGGGGTTGGTGTAGCCGTCCCAGCCCACATGAACTGCGGCCTCAATGGTATACTTGACGGATTCTTCTGGAGCAGTTGGCACCTTTGCGCAGAGGAAGGCGGGAACTGGCTTCTGAGGCACGTAGATCGCACTGATATCTCCGGCGAAGAGAGAGATAACCTCGGGCGCTCCGGTGTCTGGATCTGTCTCGCGCAGAGTGACCACCAAGTATGTGGGCTTGGGCAGAGAACGGGGAGCTTTAATTTCCACGGCAGCCTTCACAGCGATGCCAGACACGTCTTCAGATAGCTGTGTAAAGTTGCAGTCAGCCACAGAGAGCTCGCCGTTGCTAGTGCCGCTGTCCACCTTGGCCAGGGTCAGGTCAGCCTCGTAGCTGTCGCTTCCAGCTGTGACTACGGTTTCCCCAATGCACTCAACTCTGTCTTCTTCGCTTGCATCCAAGATGCGGGCCTTGAGTGAGATCTTCTGGGCGTCAAGCTTTTGCATGTCGGCACAGAAAGAATAGGGGATCTCGGACTCTGGAGTGTACTGCTCGAGCGGAATGGTGTGCGTGTAGATGGGCTCCTTTGGCTCTTCGCCGGATGCCACCTCTTCAGACACATCAATCGTCAGCACAGCGTCGCGAGACAGACGTCTTGGCCTCTCGTTTTCATCAAACGTCGCGCGGCCTTCGAAACGAACCTCCCCAGCAGCACAGGGGGGAGGGGTTTGTTCAGGCTCAGCGCGCACAGCCAGCGCGGCCGCAAGGGCCACGGCGATCAGGTGCTTGGGAGCCATTTCCCAACAATGTGGCGAAACCTGAAAAAAAAACACTCTAGACGCAAAGGGGTAGACGACTCGCGGACACAAACCGGCCATTACTCGATTGTTTTGCGAGTCACATTTGACATGAAATTCAAATGCAAATGCACAGAGTGGGGGGCTGGCGAGAAGAAGCCTAAACCGAAGCACTGCAATAGATGCGCCGACGTTGGCAGACACGAAGTAAGCATAAAAGACTCAATGCATTGACGGTCAGGTGGGAAAATAAAACATTGAGTAGTTCCATGTCTATTTCATAGCTTGGTAATGATTAAAGGAAGAAGACAAGTATGAAAGCTTCACTTTCACCCATGCGTTTGGGTTGCTCGCGAACGCTCGTTCTCAGAAAAACAGGACATAAAACAACCCAGGGCCAAAAGTTCCTTTCCTTACCTGCAGTAGTTCAAGGCTTGAACATATAAAAGAAAGCTTTTAATGTTCTTTTAAATGACATAGTCATCATAATTTATGAACGCATCCAGCCTGTGTACCGTGCGCTGCTGCCTGATAGGCGGGGTGTCGCCTATCGCTCAGGCTGCACTGGTCGCGCTGCCGACCAGACCGGGTGTCTGTGAGCGACTATTTCACCAAGTTGTGGCTTTACTCACATGAAACACAACCAAATGGACGAAAAGTCCTGCATTTTAACATTTAAGTGGCTGATACGTCGCCGAAAGATGTCACTGTTGATGCAACAGCAAGCACACTTCCCCTTGAGCACCCCACTGCCCTCTCTGCGTTGTCTGCTGAATCCAGCGCACTCAAACCAGCCTTGCATCTTGGCAAAGGAAGCCGAATTATTTTTATATTAGTCTAAGTGTGACGATGGGTCAATTTGAGGCCTACACAACGCGCAATTATCGCGCCTTGCAGGCGGCTACGGAACATGATCGCACCACGAGAACATTCCCACGTACCTAGACTCCCAGCTAGCTTGCAATGCTTCATATCAGCACTAAAATGCATAAATTTGGCCTGTTTGAGACACGCAAAAATGGGAGTGACTGCGGACCCTTCTGAACTCCCGGTATTCGTCTAGATGGTGACCTTCGGCATCAGATGCAGGCGAAAATAGTGCTTTTGCACACAACCAGACAATGGGTATGCCTTGCACACCTAATAGTAGTAACGTATGGCAGCTTTTGGCCCGCGTTTGAAGGCTGGGCCACTGCAATGCCACATACCATGAACAACCACTGTGATGATACTTGAACAAGTACCGGAAGCTGCACATGGTGGCAGCATATAGCCGTAGCAAGTCTTGGGTCCTTTCAGCTAGTGTCAGTTGGGTGTGGATAGCAGCAGAAAGTCGTGGAAAGCCCTAGGTAGTTCCGTAATTTCAGCTACGGCCAGCCCCCTGGCTAGCCTGCATTGTCTGTGCCACTAATTGCAACCAATGGCACACTATGGCGGGGAGACTTTTAAGCTTTCTAACTAAGTAGAAAAGCCGAAGTAAATATGCCGGTATGTCTTCATATGCGCAAACGTATACCTTTGTTTGGGCAGGCCCGTTTAATTCCAGTGAAAATATGATATGCAAGGTTGCTTGAACGTTATGAGTCACATGCATGCATTTGCGCTTTTATTTGACTGAGAAAGGCTTTATCATTTCAAATTTACATTTCTTCTCGCTGCTGTAGCGTAAAGTAGTCGTCAGCTGTTCTTACCGCCCTATGATTTCCTGTTTTCAAGCTTCTGCTTAATTAACATGCAAGTCCCTGGGCTCTTTACATGCAGTTTTTAATCTATTTGCTTGGTTCCTCACCTCTTCTTGTTTTTTGGTTACATATTTGATCTACCTTTTTTGGCCATCGCCTCACTGCATTTCAAGTTTATCCTCTCTTCTTGTTCTTCCCTCTATTTAGTTGATTGAACTCCATACCAATCGAACTAAAAAGACCGAAACAATAAGGCGAAATGGCAAAGTAAAGCAACAACCCCAAATCCGCCTTTGTCATCTTTGCTTGCGTTTGTCCGTTCGTGTCTTGCTTTTTACCGTTGTGTGGCTGTCGCAAGAAAGCCTCAATCCTAGGCCCTAAATTCTAAACCCTAAACCCTAAACCCTTGGCCCTGCAGTGTGTGCTGAAATGTGCGGCGGACAACAGCTGAAGGTACAGTATCCGCGTCAATGACATTAGAAACAAAATCATTCGCAGAATCAATTGCAACAACAATCCTAGCAGCAGGAGCATCAGACCTGCTGGGAATGCTTTGGACACCGTTGCTGTTGCTCTGAGTAAGGACTTGTTGAAGTCTATTTGCAGTCCAACTGCTCCTCCAGTCTAATTCAAACTACAACTGGGCTCAACAAACTCTATTGCTGGGAAATATTTAAATTCTAATGTTACTTCTACTGAAACTTACTGCTGGTGTAGTGGGGTACCCGTGGAACAGCGGCAGCGTTTTGCGGCCGCTAGTGTGGCGGCGACGAGAATTTAAATCGATCATGAGTGAGAGCCTAGAAAATGAAAAATTATGAATTAAACAATTAAAATTAATTTATTCTTCACCACTTTCGCATTGAAAATGTAACGGGTGGCGCCTTCAGCGTTTGTTCAGCTGAGGTCGGCCTGCACACCGGGGCATCGAGCGCTGCTTGCCGAGTGAATAGAATAGGCGAACATGAATCGTCTTAGATTATGTAGAAAGAAGCAAAAAGGAAAATAAATATAATAAGTTATACCGACCTTATGTACGTCAAGGACTCGGGCGCTACAGCCCGGAGACAGTAACTGTGAAGGGAGCGACAGCCTCAGCGATTTCCGAGACACTCCATGCTGTACATTGACCTTTATTTTTTTCATGTAATAGCTTTGAGCCCTTGGAGAATCCTTAGTTTGCTGTTATTTTTTTGCAAGCCTCTGCCAAGGATGCGCCGCATGCAGCAGCAACAGGAGCAACGGCTGCAGCACCAGAAGCCTAATTAGCAGCAGCAACAGACTGCTACTCTCGTCGCAGCTGCCCGGTTGAGCTACCGGGGTCCTTTATGCGCCAGGTCTTCTCCGCTGCAGCAGCAACAGCAACAGCAGCGTAGCCACCAGCAGCAGCAGCAGTGAGCTCCGTCTCGTCCTCATCCAGTAGCTGCTGCTGCATGCAGCTTCTCCGTTGACACGGCAGAACCATCTTTTCATTATCTGCCTCCTTAGGTACGGCCGAAGCTGCGTGCATTGGTCGTTTCTGCGCCGCAGCTGCTGCTGCTGCCGCAGTTGCTGCTGCTGCTGCTGCTACTGCAACTGCTGGAGCTGAGGCTGCGTCTTCTTTGCACTGAAGACTCGCTGGATCTCTTGTGGGCTGGCCTGGAGCTGCTGCTGCTGCAGCACCAGGGGCACGGGCGATGCTGCTGCTGCAGCTGCAGCACCAGGAGCATTGGCCACGTCAGGTGTAGTACGAGCAGCAGCAGCAGCAGCAGCTTCTATCGCCGCAATGCCTGACTTCCGCCGCATGCACTCCTGGTTCTTTGTTGAGATCACGGCAGCAGCTGCAGCAACTTCTGCTGCAGCAGCAGCAGCAGCTCAGTCATCAGCACCACTAGCAGTAGCAGCAGCATGAGCAGCAGCAGAAATAACTACTACAACAGCAGCAGCAACAATAGCAGCTGCAGCAGAAGCAGCCAGGGACCTTGGCCTGGGCATATGCGAGCCCCCCGCGCATGCACTGATAAGTCACGCCTTGGTTCTCGCCATTTTCTCCTTAACTTGCCTGCTGCTGCTGCTGCTGCTGCTGCTGCTTACCAAGAGCAGCAGACCCAGTATTCCAGCAGCAGCAGTTACAGCAGCACGGCTTCCGAGAACAGCAGCAGAAACACCACAGTCGCAGCAGCAGCAACAGCATAAAAAACGGGAAAGGTCAGCGGCAGGAACAGCACAAGGAGCAGCAACGGCAGAGCTAGAACTACCAACTGCAGCAGCAGCAGTAACACAACCAGCAGCAGCAGCAGCAGCGGCCGCAGCAGCAGCAAAAGCTGCAGCAGCAGTGGCAGCAGCAGCACCAAAACCAGTCAAAACAGTAAAAGAAGCAACAGCAAGACCGGTAGCAGCAGCGGTAGCAGCACCACGAAAAGCAGCAGCAGCAGCAGCAGCAGCAGCAAAATTACGACATAATGGGTCTGTGGGTGCGCCTTTGCCCCTGTGTTTGTGGGGCCGACTGGCCTGGGCAAATCTACAGGTGGTGTTTGCTGCGGTTGGGTTTTGAAAAATATGTTGCAAGTTTAGATCAGCCGGAAGTGCATCAGAAGCGCATGGGCAACATAGTGATCCGCACGCAACAGCAGCAGCAGCAGCAGCAGCACCAGCAAGAGGCTACTGCCAATGCGGCGCTCGGCGTCAGCAGTTGGAACAACTGCATCCGCACCACCCAGTACACCTGGTGGAGCTTTTTGCCTTTGAATTTATTGTCGCAAATTACCCAGCCTGCAAATTTCTATTTCTTTGTCATGGCGATTCTGCAGATGGTGCCCGAAATAAGTGACAGTGATGGGATGCCTACTTTTCTCTTTCCCCTGTGCCTCGTTATGCTAATTACAGCAGCAAAGGATGCTTACGAAAACATAAACAGGGCGCAGGCTGATCGCGCGGAAAACCGCCGACTCTGCAGTGTATGTACACCCCACGGCCTGCAGCAGGTGCTCTGGGAGAGTCTCAAGCCCGGCGACGTCATCAAGTTGAATGTTGATGAGTCCGTGCCCGCCGATGTGGTACTTTTGAATTGTTCAGACCCCTGTGGGGTCGCTTATGTAGAGACAGTGCAGCTTGACGGAGAAACGAACCTGAAAAACAAAACCTGCATTCCAGCTGTAGCCAGATATGTCAATAACGACGAAGACGCTGGAACTATGAATCGTAGGCCCCGGACTCAAAACCCTAAACACTTCAGCACAAACCCTAAACCCTTGGGCCAATTATTTAGGACATCCTGGGAAGGAAGGCAGTGGCTGCTCTTTTGGGTGTGGGGTGAATAGTGGGGTTGTTTTTAAAAAAGTTGCTGCTGTAAGCCTGGCTATTGCTGAACTACATGTATACACATATTATAAATTTGTGTTTACATATACATAAATAAACATATTTTGTACAACTGCATGCGTGTGCATGATACAATTTGTGGGCACGTCTCTGGCTTTCTTTTCCTCTTGCTGGTCACTTCTTTTCTGTCTCTGCTCTTCTAAGCCATTTTCTTTTTGTGTTGTTTTTCGTTTTTTTCAGTTGAGATTCATTACGAAGTGCCTTCCGCAGAACTGTACAAGTTCTCGGGCACTCTGCTGCTGCTGCCTTCTCCCGAACACAAAGCAGCAGCAGGAGCAGCAAGGAACGAGCACCAAAACACTCGAGGCAACCGCCACGCAGCAGCGTCTCCAGTGGTTTCGACCCACAGCAATGGGGGGCAGCATCCCTTGGACAAGCAGCAGCAGCATCGGCGGACGATGCAGCAACTGGGGACCACCCGAGGCAGCAAATGGAACAACAGCAGCAACGTGAACGACAGCACGGTGCAAGAACCTCAAGACGCCCTTGTTGGTATCAGTAGTGCTGCTGCTGGCTCCCCACACACCTCTCCGCAGCAGCAGCAGCAGTTTGCTGTGGACATTTCCCAGTTTGTGTGGAGAGGGGCTACAGTGCGCTGCACAGAGTGGGCGTACGGTCTTGTTGTTTACACTGGCCACCAAACCCGAATAATGAAGAATACAAAACAAAGAGAGCTCAAGTATTCACGCACACAAGTGCTGTACAACCAACATGCAGTGCTGCTGGCTGTTGCCCAGGTAATGCGCTGCCTCTGCCGCTGCTTCTGCTCCTTCTGCTGCGTATGCGGCTGCTGCTGCTGCTGCTGCTGTTGCTGATAGTGGCAGTGCTGGCGCGACATCTGCATTTTGGATCTTGCTGATGGTTATCTCGCTGATTGTGACACTGTTGCTGCAGCTGGCTGGGCTGTAACAGCCGTTGCTGCTCCGAGTTTGCTGCTGGCTGCTGCTGCTCTTGACGCTGCATTTGCTTCTACTTCGACGCCTCGTTTTGCTGTTGCTTCCCACTTAGAGAAAAGATGACTTTCTAGCATCACACTCCTCGATGAGTTGTTGGCAAACGCATCTTTCCATGGTTTCAAGTTCGCGGTTTAGGGCCTGCGACTTGTGGTTTGTGCTTTTTGTTTCAGTTCATATTGTGCGCAATAGCAGCAGTGGTTTATGCATCCAAAAACCAGCACCTGTCAGACAACGCATGGTACTTGGATACGCGTTGGGAGTCGGGACTGTCAAACTTCCTGACATCCTTAGGAGTGGTGAGGCATTAGACTTTAGGGTCTTGGGTTTAGGTTTTAGCCTCGAAGATTTGCATCTTAGCGTCTACAGCTCAGAATTTTTGCGAAGGGTGTACTGCGCGACAAATTTTGCTGTTTAGAACCCAGTGCCTTGCTTCAGTTGCTGTATGCTTGTTGGCCTGGGGATAAAGCTGTACCTTTTAAGCCTTGTGTTTGCTTCAGGCATTTGGTCGCTACGTGCTGCTGCTGAGTTATTTCGTGCCTATAACATTACTAGTGCAGCTTGAGGTCAGCCGCTGGTGCCAAGCGAGCTTCTTATCTGCTGATGAGCGTATGAAAGCTTCCAGCCGCAGCAGCAGCAGTGGCGTCTTGGGAGCCAGTAGGAGCGGCGCAGCGTCGGGAGAGGAAGGCGGGTCCGGCAGCAGCAGCAACAGCAGCAAGGGTGGCGCAGCAGCACAATCTGTTGCTTTGATGGATGAGCTGGGAAGCGTCACTCACGTGTTTTCGGACAAGACAGGAACCCTCACTCAGAACCTCATGCAATTCAGGTGTCTAGGCATCGAAAACGAGGTCTACGGATACGAAGAGTTCGAAGAGGAGGTACTAAACCCTTCGCCTAAAACGCTGAACCACAAACCCTGTAGTTTAGACAAGATACAATTTGCGGAGAAGGCGGTGCAGGTGGCAAAAAATTCGGAAAGCACGAACAGTAGCAACAGTAGTAAACACATGCATGCAGGGCGAGGCAGTACAGAACAGGCTTTTTGGCCTGCGTGTCAGGGTTTAGGGTTTGTGGTTTAGTGTTTGTGCCCTGTTTGTTGTGCAGAAATCGTTTGTAGTGTCGGAGAGCTGTAGTGAACTGCGTTGCATGCGCTCTCGCGGCGCTTCTCTGACTTTGTCTGTCTGCGAAACTGAAGTGTTGAAGAAAGGAAAGAAGAAAGATAAAGCAGCGAAAGATGTGAATGTGTCGCCCAATGAGCACGTTGACTTTGACGCGAAGAATTTCCACGAGAAAATTGCAGCAGCTTCAAAAGAGCATCAAAGAAAGGCAAGCCATTCCCTCAAACCTATACCACAAACCATGAATTCGATGCCACAAACCACCAAATCTAAACCCTAGACCTTATTTTGCAAACTGCTACACACAGAGTACAAATGGCTCCGTGTGAAGTGAGCACCACTAACCCCAAATCAGGAACTAGAGGACCAAAATAGCTTTAGTTGAAGTTGACCTGGCTTGACAGGTTTTTGGGCTTGCGCGGTGCGTTGTAATTGTATTTAGGCTCGAGACGCTCTGATGGTTTTGGCTTTGTGTCATTCTGTTCTGCCGAAACCTTCGGCACCTCTGCCTGAGCGGTTGGACATTTGCTGCACTGCGGAACCGGCCTCTGGAACTGATGCTTCTGCAGCTGATGCTGCTGCTCCAAGTGATGGTACTGCAGGTGCTGAGGCTAGGGAAGCAGTGCTGCAGGTGCAGCAGCAAGAGCAACTACAAAAGCATCAGGAACGAGACCAGCAGCAGGAGGAAAAGCATCAGGAGGCGGTGGATGGGGAGTTCCAAAAAGCGAATCAGAGGGAAGAAGATCAACAGACGCAGCAGGCACACGCACACGTGCAACTATCGCCGGACGCGGATTCACCTGGGAAAGCGCCAGCAGCAGAACCTGCTGTTGACGCCACTGCAGCAGGTTCTGCTGCTGTTGACGCCACTGCAGCAGCGCCAAGAGCAACGGCAGGGACTCCTGCTGTTTCTGCTTTGAAAAAGAGGGCCGTTTCTGTCCGTTCTGTATCCCTCTTGCCGTCCTTCGATTTGGAAGATGGACCAAGAGGAGGAAAAAATGCCGAAACTCATGGAGGCGGCGACAGTGTTGCTTCTCGCGGAGGTGCTGCTGAAAGCGCTTCTCCACCCATGCCTCACGTCTTTGACCCGCCGACAGAACACCATGGAAGGACCTGCAGCAGCCGAAGCAGCAACAGCAGCAGTAGAGTGAGGGTGCGTGGCAGTACCAGTTACAGCAGCTGCTACAGCAGCAGCTACTACAGTGACAGCAGCAGCAGCAGCGATCTCAGCAGCAACAACAGTGATGGGGAGGACAAAGGTTTCTGCAAACCACGCGTTGGTGCTGCAGCAGGCCGCAGCTCCCGCTGCAGCAGCGCAAGGCTCAACAGCCTCCAGCGACAGTTCAGCACCAACAGCAACAGCGGCTTGCGGAAAACACACTGCTTTCGGTACAAGAGGGTACCATCGCTGCATATGGAAGCACCACGCTTTAAACGTAAGTGGCCCCTAATTGCAAGAACGTAAACCGTATGTGTGAACTTTGCTGAGAACTTCGCGTGTATGTGCACCTGTTCGCATTGAGTTCTGTCCTTGTGCTGCTGCTGCGCACATACTCCCGTTGTCTTACTGTGAGTGCTGCTGCTGCTGCAGCTGGTGCAGCCGCTGGTGGCGCGCTTGACCCTTCGGTCAGAACTCCTTCTGCTCGAGAGAGCCCCTCTTTGCCAGACCCAGCAGCAGCATTAGCAGCGGCGGGGCCGCAAGTGCCGACTGCAGCGTCGCCATCAATTAGTTTGCGGTCCCAGTTGTGTCCAGCTTCCTCTCAGCAGCAGCAGCAGCAGCAGCAGCAGCAGCAGCAGCAGGCAGACGTGACCTTATGCCATTTCCCCTTGGAGCTGGCAGCAGCCTACGACGCTTCCAGCCCGGACGAGCTGGCCCTGACAGCAGCAGCAAAGCACTTGGGGGCAGAATTTGTTTGCAGGCCGAACTTGAACGCGATCCAGCTAGCTGTGCGCTCCGAGCTAGCGGCAGAGGCTCTCCTGAGCGATGCAGACCGTCGCCGCATAGAAGCCCTAGCTACTGCCCACAATGAGCAGCAGCAAAAGCCGCAGGACGTGGTGCCTGTAGTGAACATAGAGCTGCTGGAGGTGCTTGAGTTCGACAACTACCGCAAGCGAATGTCTGTCGTCATCAGGGACCGCAACGGGCGGCTGCGGCTGCTTATCAAGGGAGCAGACACAAGCGTCTTTGCTGTTGCTGCAGCAGGACAGGAGGAAGCAATTGCTGCATGCAAAATGCAGCTGGGCGAGATGGCGCAGAGGGGGCTCAGGACCCTCGTGCTTGGACAGAGATTCATATCCGAGAGGCAATTCGAAAAGTATCAGGCAAGAGACATATGATGGTGCTGCTACGATTGGTGCTTTTGCTAGTGGTGGCACAGTTCCAGTTGCTTTTATCGCTGCTGCTGTCGCGGCGCTGCTTGACTGTTGTGGGATGTCCTTTTTGCTGCGGGAGTCCAGCTTTTGTGGTGTTGTTGGTGCTGCTGCTGCAACTGGAGACGGTGGTGCTGCTGCCCCAGTTGCTGCTGTTTGTGCTGGCGCTGTTGGCGCGTTGCTGCTTCTGCACATCGCTGGATGCTTTAATGCAGCGACGAATCGCAACCTTCAAGATCCTCAAAATGCGAAGTTGGGAGGTTTAGATTTTGTGTTCTTTGGCTTGTGGTTTCTGGCTCGTGCTACAGATGGAGCTGATGGCGGCCAAGGACCAAACGGGAGAGAGCAAAGAGGCAGCAGTTGCTGCTGTCTTCGCCCGCATGGAGAGAAATATTGAGCTCTTAGGCTGTACCGGCATCGACGACAAGTACGTGCGGACAGTTCAGAGCCCAGGTTTTAGGGTTTAGAGTGTCCTTGAGGGTTCTGACCGTAAGTTTTTGCAATTTCCAGTCTCCGCGCCTATTCCCGCTCCACCTTTTAGGGTTTAGGGTTTGCTGCGTGAGGCTTCGGGTTTTCTTGCAGGCTGCAGGACGAGGTGGTGGAAACAATTGCAGACTTGAAAGCTGCTGGAGTCAAGGTGTGGGTTTTGACGGGGGACAAATTGGAAACGGCGATCAGCATCGGCCACAGCTGCAGCTTGCTGACGGACTTCACATACAATGCAATAGTAGATGGAAAGAGCGCAGAGGCCGTCAGAGAGCAGCTCCACCAATACATGTCGTATATAGTGGCGGCCCAACTGGCGGCAGATGCCTTTGAAGTCATTGCACTGAAGGCTGTGAGTTGACCTAAGCAGGAAAAGTAGATGTTGCTGAACAGAAACAACACAAAAAGCACACACATATTCAGCGGAATCACTTCCTCCCTTCGGTGCCTTGATGGCTTTTGTTTGTCCAGGTACTTCCTGTGACGAATTGGCCACTTTGCTGTTATCTGCCTTGCCTTTGCCACTAGTATGTGACTTTCTCCCCATTTTTCTGTTTTTTCTTTGTTATTTTTTCCTGTTTCCCAGCTGCAACAACAGCCCTCCGAGGTCAGCGACGAGCAACACAGCATTTCCCCCGAGCAGCAGCAGCAGCAACGGCGCGGCATCCGCTGCAGTAAATCCCCCGCTGTTTGCTTTAGGGCTCCCGGAGGCGGGGCCGACAGTGCGTCGGTGCACAGGGCTCGCAAAGCAGAGCCTCCTACGATTCCTTGGGAGTCCTTCGTTAAAATTTTGACATTCAATGCGACCAAGAAGGTCGTCAAGGCGGACCCAAAACAGTGAGCGTTTAGGGTTTTGGGTTTAGGGTTTGGAGTGCAGGCAGTGGAGTTGGAAGCTAGACCTGATCTGTGATGCAAGGCAGATGTGTCGCGTTGAAAAGGGAGATGCGGGACAAGGGTTTGACCTATAGGACTTAGGGTTTGCTGTGTAGGATTTAGAATCTGCTGAAGCCACCTAAATCCTGCCCTTAACATCTAACAACTATTAGCATTGACTTCCGTAGAGTGTTCATAATTGAGGGGGTAGGGCTCAGGGTTTAGCTTCTAGGGTTCAAGATTAGAGTTTGTTTGCAGGCGTCGGAACAAGCGCCTTTCCCCGCAGCAAGTTGAAGACATCGTCCAGGAGTACCTGGAGCACTTCGAAAGAGACAGCGAAGAGGGGAAAGCGCGGGAAAAGAAAATGAAAAAAGAAGGACAGAGAAGGAAGAGTCTTTCTCGCAGTAAGAGCAAGAGGGACGAGGCCTTGGCAGCTGCGGCAGCTGCGGATCCGGGCGCTGCTGCACCAGCTGCAGCAGGAGTAGCGTCCGAGGAGCCAACGCTCAGACATGCAACCGGCGGCGCAGCAGCAGCAACAGAAACAGAAGAGGAGCAGCAGCTGATCTGCCGATCTACTACGGACAAGAGCACAACTGACAGACTTAACCCCTCCAGCACGTCCATTGAGATTCCGGCAGTTCAGGGATATCAGGAGTCAGCTACAGACCCTAAATCCTCAGATTTTAACATTAATTTCCTTCTGTAGGGCAATGTAGATTTCAGAGTCAACTATGGCTTACACTTTGGAGTGAGAGTCTTAACACTTGTGTGAGCTCTGAAGTTTCGGATTTAGAATCAAGGGTTTGCTTGTTTGCAGGTGTGCTATTACAATAACTGGGGAGGCTTTGACGCATGCGCTGTCAACAGCAGAAAACAGGCGATACTTCTTTGGCTTGGCTTCTCTTTGCAATACCCTCATTGCTTGCAGAGTCTCGCCGAAGCAAAAGTCGGAGGTCGTACACTACTGCCAGAGGTAAAGGGCTTGCAATTATGGCTCTTGGATCTAGGGTTTATGGCATATGGTTTAACATATAAGGGAAATGGAGAGCAGCAGTATAATCCTGGGTATTAGGGTTTGAGTTTCGAAATTAGGGTTTGTGTGTTTGCAGGTACCAAAGCAACACAGTATCCCTAGGCATAGGAGACGGAGCTAACGACGTGGGCATGTTAATAGCAGCAAATGTAGGCGTGGGCATAAGAGGCAAGGAAGGGCTACAGGCTGTACGCGCAGCAGATTTCTCCATTACTGAATTCAAGTCCGTCAAGCACGATAGCGTTGGGCATTTTAGTTGTCGGGTTGTTGCTTGTGTGTACTGCGTGCCTTTAGAGCTTAAGGCTTAGCGTTTACTGCAGGCTTTGCCTCTAAGTTTAGTCTACTTTACAGTTGTGTGTGGGAGGAGTGTTTGTTGGGGGTGGTGTTGATAGGTATTTGCGAATGAAGTACGATCCGTGCCAAATATGCTTGTGAGCTTGTGCAAATGGCATTTGGGTGTTTCGTAGGTGCGCCTATGGTGCATAGTCGTTAGTGCATTCACACTCCTTTGTTTTAGTGAGAGTACATGTGCGTATATTTAGCTCATAGCAGAAGCAAGCTGGTACCCGAAATTGTGAACTTTAGACCTTATACCCGCATGAAAAGTAGTCTTGAGTCTGCGTAGACGCAGATTAATATATAGAATAGATTGCGTTCAAATGATTATAGAGTGGAAGAATTCACACGCAAGGCAGAGTTTAGTGCCCGTTCTAATCCAACCATATATTATGTACTTGCAGAAACGTGCGTACGTGCATATTCTGGTGAGGGACTTGCGTGTTCATTCAACCTAAAAAGTATTGAACAGGCCTTTAGGGATAGTTGTTTCTTTTTGTCGTGTTCGCCTGCGTGAAGGTACTTGAAGAACTTGCTGTTTTGTCACGGGGCTGAGGCTCTTCGCCGCAACTCATTCCAAATATATCAGACGATATGGAAGAACGTGGTTTTCGGGTTGGCAGATTTCTTTTACGCCTTTGTCTCGGCCTGGTCGGCCGCTGACCTGTTTAATTCATGGCTTAAACAACTCTTTAATGTGTTGTACACCACACTGCCCGTGGTACTTTACTCCATCTTCGACAGACAGCTGCCGATGGAGGTCACCCTGCAAACTCCAGTACTCTACCCAGCTTTTGCGAGTAAGCATGCATGCCATGCAGTTCTGCATGATGGCAAGATTTTGAATTCGTGGATGTTTGCACGTTCAGCACTGGAGCCCCATGTATGTCACATTTTGATATTTTATGAATGGTGGATTAATTAATACAACTCAGAATTGAATCCACCCCTTTATTCTATATGCCGCTTTGTGACGTTTGCTCAGAGCTGGGAGTCCAGCGGTTTGCAGGTGCGGGTTTATTTTGGCGCTGGTTCGTCTACGGCTTGTTCACAGCATGCTGCTGTGTCTTTATTCCTCTCTACGGGCTGGGGTGGGGTGGCGTAAACCTTGGAAACGATGGTCATTTGAGCCTCACAGTTCGGTTTGAAGGCAGTTGCGTTTTTTGGGTGATAATTGTGGTAAGATCTGGACCCTGCGAATTGCTTGTAAAGCTTAGCTAGTTGTAACACTTGTTCGAGTCTTTGTCTTTGGCTGAAAAGCGGAAGTGCGCATTCCAGTTCTTGAACATATGAGTTCAGGTTTGCGGATTCGACTTGTCTGTGCAGGTGTGCAACTTGATTATCATTCCATACCTGCACACGTGGTTTTGGTTTATATGGCTAGCAGTGTTCTTGGACTTTGGATTCTGGTTTTTGTCCGCGGGAGTTTGCCCTTTGGTCCCTGGAGAATACTGCCCCGATTTGTACGGAGCCCTGCGAGCGACGCACATCTTCAGCCGCCACTACTTCGCAGTGGCTCTAGCGGTGGTGGTGGTGCTGTTGCCTCCTTTCCTGAATTGGTTTTATGAGGTAAATCTTCCGGCTTTTGAACCTTTAAGGTCTAGTTTAGAAACTTTCCACAGTCTACACCGTTTTTTCCTATATCCACGTTTCTGTGAACAAGACTCGTGCGAAGCAGCGCCGAATTTAAGAGGAAATCTTTTTGAATTACTGCGGCTATCGCGAATAGTTCGTGTGTAAAATTTTAAACTTTCATTTTGCTTTATTTTTTCTTCAGACAATGTTTCGGCCTTCTGCCCAATGCATTATTCGAGAACGCATTGCCTTAGGCGTATTTGACGTTGTAGTCGCCCCGAGAGGAAACGCAAAGACAGTTGTTGTGGTCCCGAAAACTCGCAGTGAAGAATGGAGAGGATACGCATTTGCTGAGCAGGTGAATAAGTTGAACTTCCTTGTTTTATTAATTGATCATTAAATCAACTCTTTCGTCGATGCACAGGCTTGATTGTTTGCACTCCCTATCCATTCTGTCTAGTTGACTTTTTCATTCATCATTTGCTCTCACCCATTCATAATTGTTTGAACTGGGATTTCGGAAGCAGTTACGTTCAAGAAGAAAAGGAAACAGCAAACACATAATGCAGCAACAAACTTCTAGTTCTAGTACCCCCACACTTTCATGGGTAGAACAAACCTTTGACATGAATGCCAGCAGAGAGTCCCAGGGATGCAATTGCTGCTGATACGGTGCTGCTGCAACTGCTGCTGCTGCTGCTGCCTTGCAGGACCGTACTCGTCTGGGGCACCACCGTCTGTCTCTGATGCACTACAGCAGCAGCGCACTGCCGCAGAACTCCGCTGGAATGGAAGCAGCAGCAGCTGCTGCTGCTGCATCTGCTTCGCGGCTCAACAAGGGCTTGTCACAACAGAACAGCAGCAGCTTGCGGGCAGGCAGCAGCTGCGGTACGTTGCCGCTTTTGCCAGCAAGCAGGCGCTCTCAGTCTGCTGCTACGAACGCAGCGCTGCGCAGCACGTGAAGCCCCACAGCTGCTGGACGCACAATCGCATGCATGCATGCATGCATGCATGCATGCATGCATGCATGCATGCGTGAGTGCATTCGTTTGTACACATATATAGATGAACTCAATGGTAGTTCTTTGACGTGGCTGCTGCACCTTGCAACACTAGGACCTGGGAGTATTCTTGTGGAGAACCTGCAATGGTTTACAAGCGTTGGTTCCAGTTGCTGCTGCCGCTGCTGCCGCTGCTGGCGGGCAGCGAGGCAGCAGCAGCTAGCTAGCAGCAACTGCCAGCCACCCTACTTTACTGAGATTTGCCTTTAGATCCGCAAGGCTACCGGAGTGGCTAAGAACACTAGTGGCCTCCAACCGCATTGGCCATTTGGAGTTTGGTTTATTTCTTTAACTAGTCTGGCTGCTGTCATTTCTCCCGTTGCTGCTGCTGCTGCTGCCAGCTGAAAGGCGCTGCAGCGGTTTGCTGCTGTGGTTGGTGGGTACTGCTGCTGCTTGCTGCTGCAGCTTTCAGTGCTGTGAAGCGAGGGTTTGGGGATTCTGGCTGCAGTGCGTCTTCTGACGGTTTGCTGCTGCAGTGCAAGGAGGTTCTCGCTGTTCATTAGCACTGCTGTCCAGTGGAATGCGGCAGACAGCCGCAAACTGAAGGTGGACTTGCTGCAATGCCATTGTTTTCTCTCGACTTTAAACTGGAACTTGGAAGCAGCAAAGTTGCGCGCAAAGACAGCAGCAAGTGAATATTGAAGAATCGGCAGCTCCGCCGTGCACGGCTGGCGGGGGGCGATCGGATGCCGAATGCATTGGGCTTAATTGAGTAAAATGTATAAATCAATGGACATACAATAGATTTCAAACACATTTTCCCGCAGAGGCTCAATTAAGGGCTCATTTCTACGGCCTTCTGGTGAGTGTTCGTAGTCGCGTGGGTGTTTCAGGTTGCTCGGGACGAGCAGCTTTTGTTTGTGTCTACTGAGTGCATCTCTTTCCCCTTTGTCTGCGTTTGTTTTTAATAAACTGAAATAACACAATGAAAACTTAAAGAAGGAGCCGAAGGCACAAATTACCTTCTCTCCGTGCTTCCCAGGAGGGGGGAAATCTCCCCCAGTGGCGGCTGTGTTGAGCGTGACTGTTTCTTCAGGCAGCTGAGGTAAAAAGAAAGAAATAAAAAACACACGGGCCTTAATGCGCTTTCATAATCATCTCCGATATGAATTAATCTTTTTGGACTCTGTTGCTGATGCTGCACGTACACCTGGTGGCGCCACCGCCACATCACTCTGCTGCTGCTGCTGCTGCTGCTGCTGCATGCATACAAACACAGCCTCCACCGAGTGACACGGGAGCGAAAGATGATTTTTTAAATTTACTTTGTTCCCAGTGACTTTTTGCATTGCTTAGCTCATTGAAACTGCAGGCTGCTGCTGTGGAAAGCAGGGGAATCAGCCACCGGTCACCGCAAGCAACTGCTGCAGCAGCGGTAACGGCAGCAACAGCTGCAGCAGCGGCGCCGGAAGCAGAACAGGCACCAGCGCAGAAGCGCAGCCACGTTCCTGTGTGTCTCACGGCCCACTCAACACCGCCGCAGCAAGGCTGCAGCAGCAGCAGCAGCAAAAACAGCTCGCCAGAAACCAACGACTGAGCCGCCACAGTGGCTGCAGCTGCTCTTTTTGCCGCCGCAGATGCCGCCGCTGCAGCTGCAGCCATGCGCAGGCGCCGCAGGGACAGGTTGACTGTCGTGACACTGCAACGCCACAGAGGCGCTGCAGCAGGAGCTGCAGCTGTTCGTCTCCACAGCAGCAGTAGCAGCAGCAACAGTAGCAGCAACGGCGGTGGCCAGCGCAGCTGCAGCAGCAGCAGCAGAGTCATCCACAGCAGCAGCAGCTGACGCGTCCAAATCTGCGTGCGGCTGTTGCTGCTCACCACAACATGGAGGGACTGGCTCTGCTGCTGCAGCGGCTGCAGCAGCAGCAGCAACACCAACTGCAGCAGTCGCCCGCACATATGCAGGATTTGCTGCGCCGGATCAAGGAGTACACGGAACAGCAAAGAACAGCAGAGCAGTGGCTGCACACGCTGCAGCAGCAGCAGCAGCGACAGCAGCAAATGCAGCAGACGCTGCCGGTTGAACAACAGGTGCTGCACCAGATTATAGGGAGACAAACAGCGCAAGTGCGTGTGATGCAGCAGCTGCAGCAACTGCAGCAATTGCAGCAGCTGCAACAGCTGCAGCAGCAGGCTCCTGGGGTGCTGCAGCAGCTGCTGCAGCAAGGCGGGACTCCGCAGGAAGAGCAGCAGCAGCTGCTGTGTGCCATAAGCAACAAAAACCTGCTGCTGCGACAGCTGCATAACCAGCGGCAGCAGCTAGCTAGTCAACTGCAGCAGCAGCAGCAGCAGCAGGTTGCTGACCAGCTGGCAAACATATTAATAGCTGAGAGAAAAGTATCGCAGCAGAAAAGCTCCTTAGAAAAGCAGCAGCAGCTGCTGCAGCGCGCAGCAGCAACAGCTGCTGCCAGGCCTGGGATACCTGCAACTGTTGCTGCTTCTACTTCTCCGACGAACTGTGTTCGGCAGCAACTGCTACAGCTGCTGCAGCAGCAGCAGCAAGCAGCCGCAGCGGAAGCAGGCAGCAGCGGGGCTAAGAGCAGTTTCTTTGTGCCGGCTCTGCAGCAGCGACAGCAGCACGAGGCTGCGCTGCATCAGCAGCTGTTGCAGCAGCTCAGCAGCAGCAGCAGCAGCAGCAACCAATACGCTGCAGCTGCTGCTCCGGTAAGAAAACGAAGAGCAGCCCCGAGGCGGCGGCAGCAGCACCAGCCATTTCAGGCGCGGCAAGCGCTGCAGCAGCAGCAGCACGAGGGGCTGCAGCAGCAGCAGCAGCAGGAGGGGCAGCACCAGCGGGAGGAGCAGCAGGAGCAGGAGCAAGATGGAGGCGCTGCTGCAGCTGACGACAGCAGCTGCAGCAGCAGCGAGGACGGCAGCAGCCGACTGAATGCAAAGGAAAGGCAGCAGCTGCTGCAGCAGCAGCAAGAAGAGACGCTGCAGCGGTGTTGCGCCCAGGCAACTTCAGTGCTGCGGTGGCAGCACCTGCGAAGGAAGCAGCAGAAGCAGGAGCAGCAGCAGGAGCAGCAGCAGCAGCAGCAGCAGGAAGAGAGCCGGGGGAAGCGCCGGCGGGTGCAGCAGAGCAGCAGCAAGCCGGAGCAGGAGGGGGGCGACGGCTGCAGCCCCGCAAACAACAGCAGCAGCAGCAGCAGCAGCGATAGCGACGGGGAAAGCGCAGCAGCAGCAATTGGCCGCAAACTGTACAGACGGCTGAAGCAGCTGGCAGTGGACCAAATTATAGATCTTAAAGGGAGAGGCAGAAGAGGGAAGTCTGCGAAAGACACAATGTCTCTCAGCCAAAAAATAGATGTTTTCATCAACAACGGGTACCTAAACCGTAAACCCTAAACCCTAAACCCTAAGCCCTAAACCCAGACCCTGCGGTAAGCACGGGGGCTGCAGCAGCGCTTGTGGTGCGGGTGAAGGTGCGTCTGTGTGGCAGCGCTGCGCTGCTGCTGCTGCTGCTGCTGCGCCGCCGCCGCCGCTGCTGCTGCTGCTGCTGCTGCTGGGGAGCAGCAAGGTGGGCAGCGGGGGTGTTGTGCTGCTGCAGCGTGGCCTGCGGGACCACGGAGAACCTCTCACCGCTGTGCAACGTGTACACCGTAACTTACCGCTTTAAACCCCAAAATCATATTTCAATGCTTTCGGATTTGAAGAGAGTTCGGCTGTACAGACAGGCCATTGACTTTCTCGCCAAAGAGGCGAACACGGCGTTGGAAATCGGCTGCGGGCCGGTCTGCATTCTCGCCATCAACGCGGCAAGGGCCGGTGAGAAACCAAATTCTTTTTTATTTATTTCCTTTTTATTTCCTTTTTGTTTCCATTTTATTTCCTTTTTTTGTTTCCTTCTTTCTTTCGCTCCGTCGTGGGCTTCTTTGCGGTGTCTGCGCAGACACCGCAGCGTGCTGGGTCGTGTTTGCAGCTTTGCAAGTTCAACTTCTGCTGTTGCTGCTGCTGCTGCTGCTGCTTTTCTTGCAAAGGGGCATTTATCCTTTCGCTGCTGCTTCTTTTCGCCTGCGCAGCTTCATTTGGGACTATTAATCCTCGAGTTTGTCGAAATTTTGTCGAAGTTGAACGAAGTTGAATGCTGCTTTCTTGTGCACAGGAGCGAAACATGTGACAGCTCTGGAAGTTTCCCGACGCTCCGCCGCAGAGGCTTCTTCTTATGTCCGCATTTACGGATTCGACTCCGTCATTAAGGTGCATGCATTGTATTCCAAAGAGGCAGACCTTCCGGCCCTCGCTGCAGAGGCCAGACAGACCCTGCAACAGCGCCAGCAGCAGCAGCAGCAGCAGCAGGAACAGGAGCAGGATCAGGCTGCGATGAAGCAGCAGGGCGCCGCTGGAAAGAACGGAACCAACAAGGCTAAGAAAACGCCGCAGCCCAGTCCTAAGGGTAGCAGCAGCAGCAGCAGCAACAGCAACAGCAACAAAAGCAGCAACTGCAGCCGCGGCAAGGAAAACAACAAGGGATTCGATTTGCTGATCCATGAAATCATTGGAGATATTTGCAGCAATGAGGGAGTGGCAGACGTGATTCTCGACATTCAACAGAGAACGGGTAACTAGCTGCTGCTGTTACTGCTGTTGCTGCTGTTGCTGTTGCTGCTGCTGCTGCTTTGGCTGTCGGTGGGCTGCTCTCTATGCTGGTAACTTTATTTGTCATTTGGCATGCAGCAGCAGCAGCTCTAAATGCAGAAGGTTGTGCGCTAACAATCATACGTTTCACTTCCCATACTAAGCACCCCGCCCTTCTGCTGCTGCTACTGCTGCTGCTGCTGCTGCTGCAGGTCGCCTGTCTCGGTCTATTCCTTACGCCGGCCGCACTTGGTTTGCTCCTTGTGAATTTCCCTTGGAGCGCCACATCGCCTTTCCCCATAATAAGTAAATTTGCTGTTTTTGCTGCTGCTGCGTTGCTGCTGCTGCTGCTTTCCTGCTGCTGCTGCTGCTGCTGCGGTTCTGCCGTTGCTGCTGCTTGCCACTTCTGTTTGTGTGTCTGTGCATCGAGCATTTCGCAATCCAGTGCTTTTATTTTAATTAAATTATTAAATTGAAATTTATAACTTGGTGTTTTTGTTTTATTAAAAGTGTTGTCTTATACTTCTGTGCCGCCTGCGTGCATACCTCCCCTCACTTTCTGCAGCTCTTGCCCTGCCTAGCTAGCAAACCCACTCACTACTCAGCCGCACCTAGCTAGCTGGCTAGGTAGCTAGCTAGCTAGCTAGCTAGCTAGGTAGCTGCGTAGCGGGTCAGCTAGCGCCGTAGCCAGCTAGCTAGCTAGCTGAGTCGCTAGCCAGCTAGCTAGCTGCCTGGCTGGGAAGCAGGGCAGCTATATGGCTAGCAAGCTGTGCAGCCGGTTAGGTAGCCAGCTAGGTAGCTAGCCAGCTAGCCGGCTATCCAGCTAGTTAGCTAGCTAGCCAGCTGGCTAGCTAGCCAGCCAGCTGGCTAACCAGCCAGCCAGCTAGCTAGCTAGCTAGCCAGCTAGCTAGCCACCTGGCTGCGAAGCCGGGTATTCATGTAGCTGGCAAACTGTGCTGCCAGTCAGCTAGCTATGTAGCTATCCATCTACCTAGCTAGCAAGCTAGCTAGCTAGCTAGCAAGCTAGCTAGCTAGCTAGCAAGCTAGCTAGCTAGCTAGCTAGCTAGCTAGCTAGCTAGCTGTCTCCGGGCCGGGTTTTGTTTCAGTCTGTGGGCCTTCGGTTTCAGCGGCTGCTGCTGTCTGCCGAATTCGCCCCTTTGGAAGAACTGCTTTTCGAAGAAGACATGGCGAAGCAAATGCTGCAAAAGAGAACTGCGGCCTTCACCTGCACGCGAGCAGGTGACTGCCCTGCCTGCGCTGGCTAGCGCTGACTAGCTCGCGAGCTAGCCAGCGCGGCAGCTAGCTGGCTGGCTAGCTGCAGTGGCTAGCTCGACAGCTAGCTGGCGTGGTGGCTGGCTAGCTAGCTGCACGAGCTAGCTAGCGAGCTAGCTAGCTTGGTAGCTAGCTAGTTAGCTGCAGTAGCTAACTGGCAAGCTAGCTAGCTTGGAAGCTAGCTGGGTACCTGTGCTAGTTGGCTCGCCAGCTAGCTAGCTTGGTAGTTTGTTAGCTAGCTGTACGCCTGCCTAGCTCTCTAGCTACAACTAGCTAGCGAGCTACCTAACTTTGTCGCTGTCTGGCTAGCTAGCTGGCTAGCTAAGTAGGTTAAGACATGCGTAGTTGTCTGGGTAGTGGGGTCGCTGGACGGTAGCGGCTCTTGCCCAGATGGCTAGCTAGCTAGCTAGATGGCTAGCTGGCTAGCTAGCTGTGAGTGGAGAGTGGCTGTGTGTGCTGCCGGCTTCACTCTATCTACGTTGGGGGCTAGGCGTAGCTAGCTAGCTAACCTGCTAGCTAGCTAGCTAACGAAATAGCTGCCACGCGCTGCGCTTTTGCTGCTGCAGGCAAAATGGCTGGTTTTGTTCTTTGCTGCGAAGTGGAGCTGCTGAAGGGGCTCTCGATTGACCACCGAAAAGGCGAGGAGGAAAGCCACTGGTGAGAGGCCGGACTGCTGCTGCTGCTGCGCGTGCTGGAGTTGCTGCTGCAGCGTTTGCTGCTGCTGCTGCTGCTGCTGCTGCTGGCAGCTCGCTAGCCTCTTCTGAGGGTTTTCGCGCTTTGTATTGTGCGGGCGCAGCTGCTGCTTCCTTTGACCTTTGTTACTGTGTGGCTGCTGCACGACTCGTAGCTGCTCCCGCAGCGACCGCAGCAGCAGCAGCAACAGCAGCAATTACAGCAGCAGTAGCAGCAGAAGCAAGAGCGGTCTGCGTGGGTGCTACTTAGGTACACGAACATCGCCATGTTGAGGGAAGAAGTGGAGGTGCTGGAGGGTGACACAGTTGTGGTGTATACATGTGCGGACTTGTTGAACTACCAGGTGGGAAAGCTCTTCTTTAGGAGATAAATATTCGCCATTCATAAAAATTAGAAACATATTTAAAAATAAATATGAATAAATATATTTATAGTGCATATTAGCTGCTGAAGAGGGGGAAATTGCACGTGCAATTTTCATTATTCTGAATAGCCACTTTATGTAGTACATGTTTGCGGCGCATGCATCTTTCAGGGGTATAAGCATGCAAATATATCATTTATTCAAAAATAAACACTCTAAATAAGTCATTTTCGATATATGGTCTTCTATCGCAACTTTCCCTGTGCAGAAACAAAGGCAAACTGCTTTTTGCAAAGAGTTGGTCGCTGCTGCAAATATGTGTATCATCACTGCATGCATTGTGCACATTTTCTGACTTTTGTGCAGCGCAATATGTGAAATGATTTTTTCAATATTTTATCCTTTACATGCATATTTACATCCAGTATAGATGCATGCGTTCTGTTTATTCTGATTTGTTTGCTGCTGCTGCCTCGGCAGCAGGCTGGCTCCCCTGGTGTTTCCCCACAACAACTTTTCGCTCCTCTGCTGCGCCTCGCTGCCCAGCCTCTTAGTTAGCTGGCTGGCTAGCTAGCTAGCCAGTTAGCTAGCTAGCTAGCTAGCTAGTCGCCCATCAGCTGAGCAGCTGGGGGGCGAGCTGCTCAGCAGGGCAGTCAGCGAGCTTGGCAGGAGTCACGCTGGCTAGCTAGCTAGCTAGCTAGCTAGCTAGCTAGCTAGCCAGACAACTAGCGAATTACACAGGGTACATGGCTAGCTGCTTGTATGTGCTGCAGACAGTGGACGTGCCTCTGGGCTGCTGCTTGTCGGACACGCCGGAGATGCAGCAGACTCAATTTCCCGATAAGATAATCACGACGCCTCCTCGCAAGAAGCTGCTGCAGCAGAAGCAGCGGCAACAGCAGCAGCAGCAGCAGCAGCAAGCCAGAACGGCGTCTCCTGAGGAGTGCACAAGTGGCAACGGCGTTCAAGCAGCAGCAGCAACGCCGCAGCCGCAGGATGAGGAAGACGAAGAGGCGTGGCGCTACCCATTTGCTGCTGAGCTGCAGCAGCAGCAGCAGCAGCAGCAAAAAGCCCCTCCGGGCCACCGGCGCATTCGTTTGTCTCGCCCCCGTTTTTCTCTTTCCGCAGAAATCCACAGGCTGCCAATTACCCCTCTTAAGGGGAGCTACAGTTGCAGCTGCGGTGGCAGCAGCACCACTAGCAGCAGCAGCAGCAACAGCAGCAGCACGGCAGCGACGACGCCGACTGTGAGCGAAGATAGCAACAGCAGCAGCAGCCCAAACAGCAGCAATGTAGCAGCAGAGAACTGCTGCCCTCAAGGGTCTCCTGTTGCTGCTGGAGACAGCAGCAGCAGCGGCAGTGGCGGAGTTAAAACAGAACGCAGCAGCAGCAAAACCTCTGGGGAGACCCCCGCAGCAGCAGCACCAGCAGCAGCAGCACGAAGCGGAGCTCCTTGCTGCTGTTCACAATCCAGCGAGACGCCTTCGATTGTTCGGTTGGAGCCAATCATAATTACCTACTCAGAACAGTCACCGTTCCTGGACAAGACAGTCCGCTGCTGCTGCTGCTGTTGCTGCTGCTGTTGCTATACTGTCGGCTTCTCGCTGTTGCTGCATCGTTGAGTGGGGCACTTTGGGTTGCTTCTTTGTTGCTAGCATGCTGCTGACGGGGTTTCGCTGCCCTGTGCCTTTGGCACCACTCTGCTGCTGCAGTTGCTGCTGCTGCGGTTGCTGCTGCTGCTGCTGCTGCTTCAGGGGAGCCGCCAATCCCGCAGAGAGGCGGCATCATAACGCTTTCGCGACCAGCCCCGACGTCAGGAGGTGTTGCAGCAGTCGCTGATGCTGCAGCAGGTGCCGCTGCAGCAGGTGCTGCTGCAGCAGGTGCCGCTGCTGCAGCAGGTACCACTGCTGCAGCAGGTGCTGCTGCAGCAGGTGCTGCTGCAGCAGGTGCTGCTGCAGCAGCAGGCGCTGCTGAAGGCTCGTGCCGATCTCAGCAACAGCAGATAGCTGCCCACTCTGAGCTCGAACTGCGAGCACTGCCCCAGCTAGCTAGCGAGCTGAGGAGCTAGTTAGCTAGCTGAGGAGCTAGCTAGCTGCTGGCTATCTAATGGGCTAGCCACTCAGCCACACGCTGGTGTGACCGGCTGGGCTGCACTTGGTGTAGCCGGTGGTTTTTTAGCTAGCTAGCTAGCCAACGGATTGGCTAGCTAGCGGCGACCTGCCCCAGTCCATTTTAAGGGTCTTGGCAAGCGACAAGTCCACGCACTAAGAGCGCAATTACTGATTAAGCTGCTGCTAGTGCTGCTGCTGCTGCTGCTGCCGCTTGGATAGCAGCAGCAGAAGCTGCTACGTTACACGGAATCTGGAAGCGGCACTGCATCCTCTGGACGCTTCTAGCTGCGTGGCTAGCTAGCTAGCTACGCAGCGAAGTGGCTAGCTAGCTAGCTAGCTAGCTAGCCAAGAGGCAGAGCACAGCTAGGCGCATGCAAAGCGCGGGCAGCAGCATTGTCTAGCTAGCTAGCTCGCGTCGCTAGCTAGCTGCACTCAGCTGGCTGGCTACTCAAGGTGCAGCAAACTCTTCTGCCCCTCCTTGTTGCCAAGGGGCTGCGGGCGACACGAAGAGACCCACGGAGCACATTGAGACAGCAGCAGCAGCAGCACAGGCAGCAGCAGCAGCAGCAGCACAGTAAGACAGAGACGGAGCAGAAGAAAACGCAGCAATGGAAAGACGCGCATTAGTTGCTGTTCATGATAAACCCCACAATTCAGTAACCTCACAATTCAAATGGTTCAAGCCAAAAAACCTGGTTTTGCTGCTGCTGCTGCTGCAACAGCAGCTGCTCTTCCCGCAGTTTTGCAGCGTTGCGAGGTCGGCGAGGTGCCGATGGTTGCAGCAGCAAAGAAAGAAAGTCAATATGCTCCTGCTGCTGTTGCTGCTGCTGGGCCATTTGTTGGTGTTGCTGTTGCTGATGATTGGGCTGCTGCTCCAATTCCTGCAGCTGTTCACTATGTTGCTGCTGCTGCTGCTGCGTATTTTCTAGCGAGTCGGACTTACGGCAGGCTGCTGTCGGGGCACACGGCACTGCAGCAGCAGAAATTGCTGTTGATCTAACGGACTTGAGTGCTGCTGCTGCTGCTGCGTCAACCTCAGCTGGTGCAGCAATTGAATACCCGCCGCCAGCAGCAATGGCAGCTGCTTCTGCTGCAGCAGAAGCAGCCGCTGCTGCACCTGTTTCTACATCAGCGGCAGCTGCTGCCGCAGCAGAAGCAGCTGCTGCTGCACCTGTTGCTACAGTAGCGGCAGCTGCTCCCGCTGCAGCAGATGCGGCTACTGCTGCACCTGTTGCTGCAGCAGCGGGAGCTGCTCCTGCTGCGCCAGATGCAACTGCTGCTGCATCCGTTGCTGCAGCAGCGGGGGCTGCTCCTGCTGCACCAGCTGCAGCTGCTGCTGCATCCGTTGCTGCAGCAGCGGGAGCTGCTCCTGCTGCAGCACGTGAGAACTTTCTTCTGCACTGTTCCAATGGCGCCGCAGCACGCAGCAGCAAATGGAGTGTATCCGCAGCTTGCTGTGGGGCTCCCACCCCGTCGCAGGTGAAGGTGTGGCGCAGCAGCTGCAACACAAGCAGCAGCAGCAGCAGCATATACAACTCCAAATGACACAGACAGTGCACCAACAGCTCACAAGTCGAGCAAACTCCCATGTTGCAGACGTAGCAGCAGCAGCAGCAGCAGAAATAGCCTACCTTTTCTAAAACATAGGGAGATGGCTGTAGCACCTGCACTGGAGCTGCTGCTGCAGTTTCATGCTTGGCGGCAGTAGCAGCAGCAGCAGTAGTTGCTGCTGCTTCTGCTGCTGCATGGACCAATTCCTTTTCTACTGCTGCGTATGCTGCAAAGCTGCTGCTGGGTTCACGGTTGCAGTCCTTCAGCAGCAGCAAGTTGTTCGCTGCTGCCGCTGCTACACCGGAAGTTGCTGCTGCCGCTGCGCCCGCTGGCAGCAGCTGCTGCAGCCGTCTCGCTGCCATATTTGCTGCAGCAAATGCGGTGTATGCGCAGCTGCAGTGTATACGCAGCTGCTGCAGCAGATGCGGAGTGAGAGCAGCAGCTGCAGCAGGCGCTGCAGCAGCATCTCCAGCCACACTAGCACTGGCAGCAAACTCCGTCACTGCAGAGCATACAGAAAACAATGTATCTGCATGGAGCGGCTGCTGCTGCCGCTGCTGCAGCTGCTGCTGCAGCTGCTGCCGTCGCTGCTGCTGCTGCCGGCTCGGCAGCGGCGGAGCAGCAAGGAAGCTCGCAGCGAACTCTTCCTCCTCCTGCTGCAGCAGCGCCGCTGTCATCCAGTGCAGGGAGACAACAGGAGCAGCAGCAGCAGCAGTAGATGCAGCTGCTGCTGCTGCTGCATCAGAACCTGCTGCAGACTGAACAACTGCCCCACCATCTGGTGATGGGGGCGCTTCTGCTGCTGCTGCTACCCCAGTGTCAGCAGGCGTTGATATAGCCTGCTGCTGCTGCTGGAGGCGACGGTGCTGCTGCTGCTCCTGGACAGCAGCGGCAGCAGAGGCAGCAGCTGAAAGAATTCCTAGGGCGGCAACAGCGTGGCTCGCGCATGCAGCAGCAGCAGCAGCAGCAAACTGCTGCCCCACAGCACACCAGGCAGTCGCCATGCGCCGCTCAGCCAGCAGCTGCAGACACGGGAGATCTGCAGCCTTTTGCTGCTGCCGCTCTCGCACTACCTCTTGCTGCTGCTGCTCGTGGTCCTGCTGCTGCTGCTGCTGCTGTTGCTGCTGCAGCGCCACTTGCTGCAGCAGCACTAGCACCGCTGCAGGGTCAAAAATAGCAGCAGAAGGCATCAGCCCGCAAAAGTCTCCATAAACCCAGGAGCAGAATTCGCTGCCGTTGACAGCAACAACGCCAGGAGCAGCAGCAGCAGCGGCAACAGCAGCAGCAGCAGGAGCAGCAGCAGCACTTGCGGTACTCGGTGACCTTGCTGCTACTCCTCTTGATGCTGCATCATCTGTCAAAGAGCTGCAGCCGTTTGCCTCAGGTCTGCTGCTGCTGCTGCTTCTGCTGCTGCTTCTGGCCACATGCCGCCGTAGCAGCAAATCGTTGCAGTGGAAATGCACCGCTGCTGCTGCAACTTCTTGCAGCAGCAGCGGCTGCCGCTGTTGCTGCTGCAGTGCAGCAGCACCTGCAAGCGACAACCCTCCCGAGAGCAGCAGCAGCCACTGCCGGACGTTGCTGCTGGTCAGCAGCAGCAGCTCTTCTACGCATGCGGTGCAGCAGCACAAACTGGTGCTGCTACTGCTGCTGCTGCTTATGCTGCAGCAAATTCGTGTCCGCCGCCGCAGCGACAGCAGCAGCTCTTTTGCTGCTCCTTTCTTGTGCAGCAGCAGTACCCACCGCATCAATCGTTCTGCATATCTCTGTTTGCTCCATCCTGCTGCTGCTGTTGCTGCTGTTGTTGCTGCTGGCTGATTAGCAGGTGCTGTAGCAGCAGCAGCAGCAGCAGCACTGCCAGTGTCACTACTGCTGAGAGAGTCGGCTGCTGCAGTGCCGATGGCGAGCAGCAGCAAAAGCAGCTTCGAAGCAAAAAGAGGTGTTGCTGCAGTGATGAGCCGCAGCAGCAGCAGCAACATCCCTGGATGCTGCTGCGGGCTGAAGCAGCAGCAGCAGCACTCAGCAGCAAATGATAGCAGCAGCAGCTCGCTGTCATCTTTCTCCTGCAGCAGATGCATTGACTTTGCTGCAGCACCATCTGCAACAACAGCAGCAACAGCCCAGTCAACTAGCTGGCCTGCCAAGCCCTCCTCCTCCAGTAGCTGTTGCTTTTCCTGTTGCTGCTGCTGCTGCTGCTGCTGTTGCTGCTGCTGCTGCACCGCACTCCTTCGGCATTCTGTAGCAGCAGGTGCCGCCTTTGTTGCAGATTTTCCACCTTGGGAGGCCGTCAGCTCTTCTTTGCTGCTGCTATTGCGTTTGCTGCTGCTGCACTTGCTGCTGCTGCTCCACTTGCTGCTGCTGCTGCTGCTGCAGCTGGTGCTGCTGGTGCTGCTGCTCGCGGCGGCTTTCTCCCACCTGCGGCGCCAAACGCCTATAAGCCGGGAGGCGCACAGTGCAGCAGCCGCCCTTGCTTGCTCCTGCTGCTGTGTTTGCTGCTGCAGCTGCGGCTGCTGTCGCGGCTGCTGCTGCTGCTGCTGCTGTTGCTGTTGCTGCTCCAGCAGCGCAGCCGCAAACGGGCTAGAGAGATGACGCATGCGCCACTTCTTCGGTATCTGCTGCAGTACTGGTGCTTCATGCTGCTTAGCAACCTTTTTGCTGCTGCTGCTGTTGCTGCTGCTGCTGACGGTATGCAGCAGCAAACTTGCGTGCGCCTGCTGCAGCGCATGCAGCAGTGGCGGAACCGCAGAGGCCCTAGCAACCGCTGCAGCAACAACACAGAGGCTGTGCGGCATCTTACATTGCTGCTGCTGCTGCTGCTGCTGCTGCTGCTGTTCAGTCAGCTCCGCGAGCGCGTGGCTGCCCGGCGGCTTGCTACTGTTGCTGCTGCTGTTGCTGCTGCTGCTGTAGCAGGAGAAGAGAAGGGCCCTGAGCCTGTCCTGCTGCGGGCCCCAGTAGGTGAGCAGCAGCTGCTGCAGCGCAGCAGCAGCAGCTTCCCTCAGCTGCTGCAGCGAAGGCAGACTGTGGTGAGTTGCTTCGTGCCGCAGCTGCACCAATTCAGAATCCAAACCAACTCGAGCAGCAACAGCAGCAACAGCAGCAGCAAAAGCTCCGCTCTGTGCTGCATCCACCACGGTGTTCACGTGCCGCACCAGCACCAGCCCGTACGCGTGCCGCAGCAGCGCGCTGCTGCTGCTGCTGCTGCTGCTGTTGCTGCGGGGGAAGAAGCAGGGGTCTGATAAGAAAACCTCCAGCAGCTGCAGCGACAGCTCTGCTGCTGCAGGCAGCCGGCTGTCAGCAGCACGCCAGGTGTACAGACACGCCCACGCGTACAGCAGGCGGCGTCGCAGATTCTCACTGCTGCTGCTGCTGCTGCTGCTGCTGCCGCTACCGTGGCTGCTGCCGCGAAAAATGCTCCTCTTGCTGCTGCACACGTTGCTGCTGCTGCTGCAGATGGAAGTCTCCTCCTGCTTCAAGACAGAGCCCGAGCTACTTTGCAGGGAATCTGCGTCCGTGCAGCAGCAGCAGCAGCCGCTGCTGCTGCTGCTGCCGTCGCTGCTGTCGCAGCCGCAATCGCCACTGTTGTTGCTGCATCTTCTGTGGCGCTTTAGAGGCCTTAAATCTGGAGCAGCTAAATTAGTCTCAGAAGAGCTTGAGGAAATGCGGCTGCATGCGCGTTTGCTACTGGCGCTGCTGCTGTTGGTGCTGCCGTTGCTGTTGGTGCTGCTGCTGCTGCTACCGCTGCTGCATGTGCAGCGGCACGCGGAGGTTTCGTGTGAAAGCAGAGAGCTGCAGGCGTCTAAGAAGCACCTCCAAGAGACCCACGGATTTTGCTGCAGGTTGCAGGGAGAAAACCTGGGAGCAGCAGGAGCAGCAGGAGCAGTAGCAGGAGCAGCAGCACCTGCTGCTACTCCTGATGCAGCTGCTGTTGCTGCTGCTTCTACCACATCTCGTTCTCCCATGTGTGCTCGTTTTTTCGCCACTCACTCGGTGGCAGCAGCTATGTCACAGCAGCACGAAGTCTGCAGCAGCTGCTGCAGGTGCTGCCCCTTCTGCTGCTGCCTTCCTTCTGCTGCCACTGAGTTTGACGGCGAGCCTCTGGACCACAAAACCCAAAATGGTCCAATCTTCGGGGCAAAATCAATGGAATTAGTCCCGAGGTTTCCGTGGGGCTGCATGCGCTGCAGAGCAGCAGCAGCAGCACCAGATCTGCGGCATGGAGCTGGCGTGCATGCATGCCCACAGGTCCTTTTTCAAGATTTTTAATCCCTGAGTCAATTATCACTCTTTTTTGTATTTTATGTTACATTTTAAACCAAGAAAAGGAGCCAAAAACCTGCAAACCCAAGCGGGGAGGTCGCATTTCCTTTGCTGCTCACAGTGACCCGCTGCTGCCTGCGCAAGCAGCTCGTGTACGGAATATATTTGCACATATTTACGTGAATTTACCAGTAAACATATAAATATATTTATATATAAATATATAGATGATATATAAATATATAAATATAAATATTAATACTGTATGTATTTGTTTTCAATTGCACATCATGTTTACAACTAAGGCACTTTGAGAGTGTGCGCACACACAGATGCTATCTGAGAGTCAAAACCACTCGAGCACAAAACCATATACAGAAGCAAATATATATAGACATATATTTATATATATACGCTATATATATAAATGTATATAAATGTATATAAATATATATATATAAATATATATATATATATATATATATATATATATATATATAAATGCATATATATATATAACTGAAATTCACATATATATATATTTGTATATATATATATATAATAACTGCATATTAATGTAAATTCATTCACTGGGGGTCGAAGATGTTCTAAAAACCACCCCGAGGCCAAATGGCCGCTGCAGCAGCATTTGGCTGCACGGCTTTTCGTGCAGGGTTTGGGCCAAGCCACAGCCCCCAGGTTTTTCGGCTTGGCTGTTGCTGCTGCTGCAGTGCTTTACTGCGCTGCAACAGGCAGCAGGCTCTGCAATGCGCTGGCGGCAGCAGCTAGGGCTCGTTCCCTGCTGCTGTACTGCAGCTTCCTGCGATTGAGAAGCAGCAGCAGCAGCAGCAGCAACAGGAAACCCCAATCCCCCCCGCCGCTGGGGCCCCTGCTGCCCTCAAAGCCTGCAGCAGCAGAGCTGCAGCAGACAGTACAGTAGAGCAGCCGCAGCAAACTCTCCCTTGGATTTGTCTACAATCTGCTTTTTCATTGCTTCTTTAGGATAACTTTGCTGCCATCACTCGCCACTTAAATATACATCTTTATTAATAATTAATTTGATTTAATTAAGTGCTCTAAAAGAATAGAAAAACAAACATTCTAGTGTATAGACAGCCACCATCTGCGAAGACACAGACGGAAGCGCCATTGTCATTTACAAATCCACAAATATAATTACAAACATACTTATAATTATAATTATAAATATAATCACAAATATAAATATGAATAAAATTATAAATATAAATAAAAATATAATTGCAATTATAAATGTATAAATGTGCATTAGAACCGGCAGTTCAATGCATTTGAACCCATCCAGCTGCTGCTGCTGCTGCTGCTGCTACGGCAGCAGCAGCGGCTGCTGCTGCAGACGTCCCCACCGATCCTGCTGCTGTGGCCGCTGCGGCTAAGGCGTGCTGGCAACTTGCCGGGCCACATGGCAGCAGCAAGTGCTGTAACTGCAGCGGCCGCTGCCGTGCTGCTGCTGCTGCTGCTGTGGCTGCTGCCACTGCCACAGCCTTCCCGCTGCAGCTTCCGTGGTTTCTGCTTCCAGCTCTGCCCACTGCATGCAGCTGATCCTTGACATTTGCAGCTGCTCACAGTGGCTAGCTGTGGATAGCTGCGGCTAGCTGTGGCTAGCTGCAGCTAGCTGCTGTCATACCCCCCACCTTTTCTGGCTATTTTACAGCAGCAAAAACCTTCAACTGCTTCTGCATGTTGTACTGGCTAGCCAGTTAGCTGTCTAGCTAGCTAGCTAGCTCTCTAGCTAGCTAGCTAGCTGGCAAACTAGCTACGTGCCCAGCTCCTCAGCTAACCAGCAAGCCCAGTGGGCAACTGCCTAGCTGGCTAGCTAGCCAGCTAGCTAGCTAGCTAGTTAGGTAGTTAAATAGGCATGTAGCTAGCTACCTAGGAACGTAGCTGCAGCAAACAAGACTGTGGCAGCAAACAGGGTCGCCTGCCTTTGCTTGCCAGCTAGCCAGCCAGCTAGCCCAGCTAGCCCAGCTAGCCAGCCAGCTAGCCAGCCAGCTAACCAGTCACTCAATCAGCTAGCTAGCTAGCTAGCTAGCCAGGAAAACGGTAAAGCCGCTAACTAGCTGCCTAGCTGGCAATGCAGGCGGGGAAAGCCTAGCTAGCCAACAAACTAGCTAGCTGGCTAGCTAATATGGCTGGCAATATGGGCAGCTAGCCGGCTAGCTGGCTAGCTAGCTGGCCAGCTATCTGGCTGGCTAGCTGACTAGCTAGCCGGCTAGCCAGCTGGCTAGCTAGCCATGGCGCTGGCCAGTCAGGGCTATGGCGTTGGAGAGCTGATAGCAGCGCTTTGCTCTGCTGCTGCTGTCGAGGATTCTGCTGCTACAGGCGCTGCTGCTGCTGCAGGCGTCGCTGCTGTTGCAGGGGCTGCTGCTGCTGCAGGCGCCGCTGCACCTGGTGGTGGTGCTGCAGGTTCCGCTGCTGCTGCTGCTGATGGAGCTTCTGCAGCAGCTCCTGTTGCTGCTGCAGCTGCTGCTGGAGCGTCGGCGCTCGCTGCGTCTGTATGCTGCTGCTGCTGCTGCTGCCGATCATTGCTGTCAAAGGAGCTGCTGCTAGAAAGTGCTTGCTCTGCAGCAGCTGCTGCTGAATCGGTTTGCTGCTGCTGCTCCTGCAGTTCAGGCAGCGAAGGCGAAACAATTGCTTCTGGCTGCTGCTGCTGCTGCTGCTGCCTGAACAGCGTGCTGGGGTAATGCGGAGCAGCAAACACAACAACCAGCAGCAAAGCAACCTGCCCAAGGAGCAGCAGCAGCAGCAGCAGCTGCTTCTTGTGCCTTGGGAGTAGCAGCTGCTGCAGCTGCTGCCGAATGAAGCGAGCAGCAACAGCAGCAGCTGCAGCAGCAGCAAGCCACCTAATGCTGCTAGCAGCAGCTCCTGGCAGCAGCTGTGTCACTGAGAGAAGCAGCACAACTGGGGCTGCTGCTGCTGCTGCGTAGCCCTGTAAACAAATCAGCTGGACAAGGCCTACTTCCTGCTGCTGCTGCTGCTGGTGCTGCTGCGGCAGCTGGGCATCCCTGCTGTTGCTGCTGTAGCGCTGCAGCAGCTGCAGCAGCCAGCCAAAAGCAGGGGGTGCAGCAACAGCACCGTAAGCAGCAGCACCTGCGAAGGTTAGAAGTTTGAGGCCAGCTGCTGCTTCTGCTGCTGCCACTGCTGCTGCTGCTTCGGGATCTTCTGCTGCTGCTCCTCCTCCAGAAGGCAGCAGCAGCAGCGGGAGAGAGCCACAAATAAAAATCAAGAGAGACAAAGTTGCTGCTATCCACACAGGGCCGTACAAGTCAGGTTGCTGCAGCATGTTGTCCTTCTCGCTGCCGCTGTTGCTGCTGCTGCTGCTGCTGCTGCTGCTGCTGCCGGGGAGGCTTATTGGCAGCACCGCATGCACGCGCATCACGACTTGATTAGCATCTACGTCAAACAGCCGCTGCGCAGCAGCAAAAGGGAAGCAGCACCACCACTTCTGCTGCTGCTGCTGCTGCAGATCTGCTGCTGCTGCTCCTGCAGCAAGTTGCTGCTGCCCGCCCCACAACAGGTCTCCCTTTGCTGCTGCATCCAGCTTCCCCATTGTAACTTCGTGTCCTGCTTCGCTCAGTGTTCTGCTGCTGCTGCTGCTGCCGTAGGATGATGCTGTTGCTGCTGCAGCGCCCGGCGTGCCACTAAGCGACAGCATCAGCCCTTGCTGCTTCGGCCTGCTGCTGCTGCTGCTGCTGCTGCTGGTGCCGATGGCCGTGCTCGTGAAAACAGGCGTCATGAAGGCTCCATCATCTTCAGCTGAACCGGCCGCAGCAGCAGCAGCAGCAGCAACAGCAGATATATCTGCAGCAGCATCCGGCGTGGGCCTTTCCCACTGAGTTTGCTGCGTCAGCTGATTATAATAATAAGCTTTTCCGTCCACAGTTTCGTACTGCACCCACGGCAGGGGCAGTGGCTGCTGCTGCTGCTGCTGCTCAGTTTGCTGCTCCATCTTGCTGCTGCTTCTGCTGCCTCTGCGGCGGTGGTGGCTGCTGCTGCTGCTGCCGACGCGGCGGCAGCTGCAGCAGCAGCGTTTGTCGTTGCTGTTGCTGCTGCAGCGGACGCAAGGCAGCAGCGCAGGGGACCAATGGACCAAGAATACCTACCTAGAACCCGATGGAACTTCCTGCCGCTGTTGCTGCTGCTGTTGCTGCTGGGGCTGGGCCGAGCAGAATTGCTGCAGCAGCACCGCCGCAGCTGCTCTCCTTTTGTCAGTGAGAGGCCCCCTGCTGCTGCAGCAGCTTGCCAGAGCCCTGTATAGAGAAGGCGCCACAATGGCAGGAAGTTGCAAAAGTCTGGAAGCTGCTGCTGCTGCAGCGTCAGCAGCGGCAGCGACAGCAGCAGCTATGGCAGCAGCAATAAGGCGAGGAGCATTATGAAATTCGCACAAATGGACTGGAAGAAGAACTATTTTATAGTCTTTGGTTTAGACAGGTGCTGGTTGAGCTCTTCTCAAAGTTGCTGCTGCTGCTGCTGCTACCGAGCAAAACTACAGCCCCGACAGCAACGAAACAACGGCAGCAGCTGCTGCTGTTGCATGCCGTAAGGGCCCGTTTGCTTTATTAGCATTATGTTTTAACTTTGAAAACTGCCATTCTGTTTTGCTGCGGCAACAGCAGCAGACATCTCCCCAAGACGGCGGCAGCAGCAGCTGTGGCAGCAGCAGCAGCTGCTGCTGCTCCGCCGCAGCGGCAAAACAGGCGAAGGCATTATCCACTAAGAATAAATATTTTGCTGAATTAACTTGCTGCTGCTGCTGCAGCTTGTGTCGAAAGGCGACGCGGCGCAGCTGACCGCGTAATGGCGACAGCACAGCTACAAGCGACGGCAGCAGCAACAGCAGCAGCAGCAGCAGCAGCAGCACAAAGTGCATCAACACCGGCTTACTCCACGGCTCCCAGACAGCCGCTGTAATAGCGGGTGCAGCGAGGAAAACGCTCGCTGAGAGCTTAGCTACCGAGCAGCAGCAACAACGGCAGCAGCAACAGCAGCAGCAGCAACAGCAGCAGCACGATGGCGGTCTCCGGCAGCAGCAGCGCGGGCAGCAGCAGCGGCTGCGGGACTCTGGGTGCTGCTGCATCTCACCTGGAGCTGCTGCGTGCTGCACAGAAGGACGACTTCTACTGCCGGGTCTACGCGCAGCAGCTGCAGCAGCTGCTGCAGCAGCTGCAGCAGCTGCTGCTGCCTTCGCAGGGAGAGAGGCTGAGAAGACAGAGTGCGTCCTCTACAGGGAGAAGCAGCAGCAGCAGCAGCAGCGCCGACGCCGCTCAGGCGCCGGCTGCTCAGGCCCCATCTAGCAGCAGCAGCAGCAGCGGCAGCAGTTTGCTGTCATGGAATCGTTGGCTGCGATGCGTTAACGCTGCAGCAGCAGATCTGTTTCTGCTGCTGCAGCAGCAGCAGCACGCAGCAAGGGCCCTGGTGCAGATGCTGTACTTCACAGCTTCTTTGGGGGGCCGCGGCCAGCAGTCCCTGGGGGAAGAATACTGTGAACTGAGAGCGGTACTTGCTGCTGCTGCTGCTGCTGCTAGTTTTGTTGCTTTGCTGCTTGCTGCTGCTTCTCGTAGCAGTACCTGCAGCAGCTGCTGCTGCTGCAGTGGCTCGCAGGGAAGCGGCGCTGCCTTATTACTGCCTTCCCAAAACGCCGCACCGCTGCTGCTGAAATAGCTGCTGCTGCTGCTGTTGATGTTGCTGCTGCTGCTGCTGTTGCTGCTGCTGCTGCAGGTTGGCTCGCCTTGCTACGGCGGCATGCGTGGCCGTTTGCTGCTGCTGTGGGCTGCGGTGCTGCGCTCGATCCCTTTTGCTGCTACTGCGGCTCTCATTGCGAACATTTGCAGGTGTGTGCTGCTGCTGCTGCTGCTGCTGCTGCTAGCCTTCAAACGTCTAGCTGCTCTCCTGATTGCGATGTGCCTGCTGCTCACTGCGCTGCTGCTGCTGCTGCTGCTGCTGCTGCCTTTAGGGCTTTTGGGACGTCTCCGCCGACTGCTGCAGCAATCGATGATTTTCTTGCGCGTGAGTCGCGTGCAATGGAGTTCTTATTTTCAATTCTGCTGCTGCTGTTGCTGCTGCTGTTGCAGCAGCTGCTGTTGCATCTTTGCAGCAGTCTCTGCTGCTATCTGCGTGGGACTGTTATGTGATTGGTGCTGTTATTCGTCTCGCTGCTGCTGCTGCTTCGCTCTGTTTTCCGCTGTTGCTGCTGCTGCTGCTCTGCTCTTCTTTCCACTGTTGCTGCCCCTGCTGCTGCTGTTGCTGCTTTGCTGTGCTTTCCACTGTTGCTGCTGTTGCTGCTGCTGCTGCTGCTGCTTATTTGCAGTTCTGCGGCGCTTTCACTTGGCGCTCTTCTTCTGGGACGGGAGATTTTTGCATTTTTCGCAGAGGCAAGTTTGCTGCTGCTGCTGCTGCTGCCGCCGCCGCCGCCTCTGCTGCTGGTGCTGCTGGTGCTGCTGCTGCGCTTGAAGCTGCGGCTTTTGATTGTTACATCGTGTAGCTGCTTCACTGCTGCTGCTTCCTTTAGCAGCAGCTTGATGTTGTTGGTGCTGCAGTTGCAGAGTAGCTCTTGTTTTTGCTGCTGCTGCCACAGCAGCAGCAGCTCATTTGCTTCTGGCTGCCGTTTGAGCAACAGCCTGACAGCTGCCTTGCGCTGCTGCTGCTGCTGCTGCTGCTGCTGCTGCAGGCTGCTGCAGCGCCGCCTTTTCCGGCTGTACGGAGGCCTGGTTTCGCGTGCTGCTGCTGTTTACATGAGGGGTTTTGCTGCAGTGCTGCTGCTGCAGAGTTTGCTGGTTATTCACTCTTTGTTTAATATGTTTAAGAAGCAAAAGGCTCGGCAGGACTTAAACAAAGAAGCTGCTGCTGCAGTTGCTGCTGCTGCTGCTGGCAGCAGCAGCAGCGAGGGAGGGGACGGGACGCAGCCACCCGAGGAGGCCGACGCGCCCAGCAGCAGCAGCAACACCAGCAGCAACAGCAGCAGCAGCACCAGCGGCAGCAGCAGCAGCAACAACAGCAGCACTTTGGTTTGTTTATTTTGCCAGAGCTTTTGCTGCGTCCCGACTGCAGCTGCCTGCGGGCACATCTTCTGCTGGTCTTGCATCAGCAAGTGGTGTCAGCAGCAGCAGCAGCAGGAGCGGCACCAGCAGCAGCAGCAGCAGCCAACCTGCCCCGTCTGCCGGTGAGCCAAAGAAGCGAAGCAGCAAAAGACAATAAATGAGGCTTAGGGCCACACAGAGACCAAAGTGCACAGCAGCCAGCCCCAGCTAGCTACAGCTAGCTACAGCTAGCTGCAGCTAGCTGCAGCTAGCTGGCTGCAGCTAGCCACACCCAGACGGAGCTAGCTGCAGCTAGCCACAGAAAGGCACAGCTAGCTGCAGCTAGCCGCAGCCAGCCACAGCTAGCCTGGCGAATCTTTTGGTGTAGATGTCATATCTGTATGGTTCGTTAGTCTGCTGCAGCTGCTGCAGCAGCTGCTGCTGCTGCAGTTGCTGCCGCTGCTGCACAGAGTTAGCATCCTGCTGCCTGCACAAGGCTCCCCAAACTACTAGTGCTGTTGCTGCTGGGGCTGCTGTTGCTGCTGCTGCTGTTGCTGCTGCAGGGCCGCCTGCCCGGCGCAGCATCTGCTGCCGCTGCGGCACTATGAGAGCTCGGAGGACTTGCTGCTGCAGTACCAGCTGCAGCAGCAGCAGCAAGAACAGAAGCAGCAGGAGCAGGGAAGGCAGCAGCAGCAGTAACAGTGACGTTGGCTTCTGCGAACAAGAAGCCGCTCTGTGAACAAAAAGCCAATGCAGCGCCTGCAGCAGCTAAAGGCTGCTGCTGCTGTTGTTGCTGCTGCTACGACAGCAGCAGCAGCAGCATGAACCGCCCTAAAGTGTTCGGCCTCTACTGCCACTCCTACTTTGCACAGCGTGCCTACAGGATAAGTTATTCTGTTGCTGCTGCTGTTTGGGCTGCAGCATGTGTTCCTGCTGCTGCTGCTGCTGCAGCTTCTGCTGCAGCACTTGACGTCATTGCAGCGGCTGCAGCCTTGCTGCAGCTGCGCGCGGACAGCCCCTGAACTGATTCGACTCTGCAGCTGGCGCAGCTAGCTACAGCTAGCCGCAGCTAGCTACAGCTAGCCACAGCCAGCTGCAGCTAGCTGAGGCGAGCTGTGTTTAGCAGCAGCTAGATGCAGCTAGCTGCAGCTAGCTGTAGGTAGCAGTGGCTAGCTGTGGCAGGGTACAGCTAGCCGTGGCTAGCTCTGGCTAGGCGTAGTTTGCTGTAGCTAGCCGCAGCTAGCTGTAGCTTGCCGCAGCTAGCTGTAACTAGCTGTGGCTAGCTGTACCTAGCTGTGGCTAGCTGTAGCTAGCTGCGGCTAGCTGCAGGTTGTCTTCATTGTCTGTTCGGGGAGTTGCCCTGGGAACTTTTTGCTGCTAGCCCTCCAGCCAGCTGAAATCTACTGCAGCGAATAGCAACCAGCAGCAGCAGCAGCAGCAGGGTAGGCAGCAGCTGCCTGCAGCAGCTGCTGCAGCACAGGAGAGCGAGGCACGGCAGAAGCTAGGGCGAGTTTCGTGTGTATGGTTTGGCAGCAGCAAGCAGCAGCAAATGATGTACATAGTATATGCAGACAGCAGATACAGACACGAGACTGTACTGATACGCAAACGCAGAAGCTACAGCAGCAGCAGCAGCAGCGGTTCCGGCAGCAGCTCTACAGCAGCGGCGGCGGCTGCGACGGCACCGCTGCACAAGCAGCAGCAGGAGCACAAGCCATGCTGCAGCTGCAGCAGCACTGGAGTCACTATAACAGCAGCAGAGAGGCTCATCGCAGGTGTACAGCTGGCAGCAGCAGCAGCAGCAGTAGCAACGGCGGCTCCTGGCCAAGACGCCTGCTGCTGCTGGTAATGCTGCTGCTGCTGCTGCTCCTGCTTTTCCGGACAGCAAGCACCTCAGCAAGTTCTACTTCTCCGAAAGCAACAAAAAAGAGCTTTCCGTTTTAGTTGCCTGCAGCCGCTGGGGTGTACGTACACCCCACCGCAGCCTACAGGGGCTGTGCGGCTGCATGCACTGGTCCCGAGATGCTGCTGCTGCTGCTGCTAAAGCAGAACAGCAGCAGTTTTTTAATTTGCACTTTTCGCTCTCCGGCTGCGTGTTGCTGCTGCCTCTTAGGCCGCAGCTGCAACACACTCTGCTGCAGCAGCAGGCTTCTCTTTGTAGGAGCAGCAGACCGCCGCGAGCAGCAGCAGCACCAGCAGCAGCGAGTGACACAAACTGCAGCCCTCTGTGTACCCTTTAGTGCGGTGCCTGGGCTCCTCCTGCAGCAAAATGAGGACTCCGGAAGAGGATCCCCAGCAGCACCAGCAGCAGCAGCAGTCGACTCAGCCGCCGCAGCAGCAGCAACCGCAACAGCAGCAGCAGTCACAGCAGGACCATGAAGACACTTCTCCTCCTCCCAGCAGCGCAGCTGCATCTGCTGCGCAGCTAGGGCAGCAGCAGCAGCAGGAGCAGCAGCAGCAGCAGCAAAGTCAGCCGCAGAGCGAGCAGCGGCCGTCGCCCGGAGATCTGGAGCAGCAGACGGAGGCCGAGCAGCAGCAGCAGCAGCAGCAAAAAGGCGATCTTGCTGCTGCAGAGCTGCAGTGCAAGAACGACAAGCTGCTGCTGCAGCAAAACTCGCTGCTGGACTCCCTCACTTCTGAGAGAATAGCCCGGCTAGCAGCAGAACGACAGGCTCTTGCTGCAGCAGCAACAGCAACTGTTGCTGAGGGAAATGCCAGTTTGCTGCGGCGGCGGCTGGAAGCAGCTGAGGCGGCGCAGCAGCTGCTGCAGCAGCAGCTCGAAGACAGACACGAGAAGGAGCAGCAGCTGCAGCAGGAGCTGCAGCAAGCCACCCGAGAATGCACCGCAGCGAAAGCAGCAGAGCAGCAGCAGAGGGAGCTACAGCAGCAGCAGCAGCAGCAGCAGCAGCAAAAGTATGACGAGCTCCACGTAAGCTGCCCGCAAGAGCAGCACCGGTAGATACAGCAGCAGCCGCTGCTGCTGCGAGCAGCTTCTGCAGCAAGTCTGTGTTTCTCCTCTGCTGCTGCTTCTGCTGCTGCAGACCATGCTGCAGCAGCTGCAGCGCAAGTACGCCTGCCTGCAGCAGCAGCAAGAGCTCGACGCTGCTGCTGCTGCAGAGAAGCAGCGCCTGCAGCAGGAGCTGCTGGACATGAGGGAGAAGCTGCTGCAGCAGAAGGATACAGTTGCTGCAGCGCAGCAACAAGTGATTGACGAGCTGCAGCAGCAGAAGCAGCAGCTGCTGCAGGAGGTGGGTTACTGCTCTTGGCTGTCTCGAGCCCTCGCTGCATACCTCATGGGCTGCTGCTGTTGCTGCTGCTGCTGCTGCTGCTGCTGCAGGCAGCAGCAAGAGAAGCGGAATTGAAGCAAGCACGAGAGCGTACAGCTGCAGCGGAAGCTGCAGCAACGGCGAGCAGTGGGAACGAGAAGCAGCAGCAGCAGCAGCAGCAGCAGCAGCAGCAGCACCAGCAAACCGGCATGACTGAGGAAGAGGCGCAGCTGCAGCTGCAGAAAATGGCTGACCAGCAGCAGCAGCAGCAGCAGCCAATGGACCTTGCGATAAAGCTGCTGGTGCAGCTCGACGCCAAGTCTCACCAAGTACGCTCGCTGCTACTGCTGCTGCTCTTGCTGCTGCTGCTGCTGCTACTGCTGCTGCTTCTGCGTGTTGATGTTTTTATTCTGCCCTGCTGCTGCGGTTTGAGATCTCGGCGGGCATAGAACTTGCTGCTGCTGCTCGTCGTGCTGCTGCTGCTGCAGCTGCTGCTGCGAGTCATTATGCTGCGGCGGCGCATTTTGCTGCTGCTCTGTTGCTGCTGCAGTGCAATGGACTGAAGGAGCAGCTGCAGCAGCAGACACAGAAAGCGGAAGCCTGGAAGGCTGCAGCAGAGCAGCTGCAGCAGCGGCAGCAGCAGATGCAGCTGCAGCTGCAGCGGCAGCAAACTGAGCTGCAGAAGCAAATGCAGCTGCAGGCCGAGCAAGAGTGCTGCATGCAGCAGCTGCTGCAACAGGACAAAAAGAAAAGCCAGCAGATTCAGATCCTAGAATCCGAAGTAAGGGAATTCTTGCTGCAGCAGCAGCAGCAGTAGATGCTGCTGCTGCTGCTGTTGCAGGTGTTACATCAGCAGCAGTCTGGGCGCTGCTGTCATGCTACTGCAGCTAACATGTGCTTCGGATGCTCATGATGCTGCTGTTGCTGCTGGTGTTGCTGCTGCTGCTGCTGCAGTACCGCGAAAAGGAAGAAGAGGCCCGGCGGTATATCCACCGCAACGACGAGCTGCTGCAGCAAGTTGCTGCTGCTGCTTGGGAGCTGCAGCGTCTGCGACATCAGCAGCAGCAAGATGCTGCAGCTGCAGCAGCAAGCTCGGGAACCGAGCAGCAACATGCATCAGCAACGCAGCTGGACTATCAAACGCTCTTGGGGCGCTCCAAGTCCGCAGAGTGCTGCTGCTGCTGCTGCTGCTGATTTGTTTGCTGCTTTTGTTGCCGCTGCTGTCTTGTTTGCTGCTACTGTTTTGCTTGCTGCTGCTGTTGCTTTGCTTGCTGCTGTTGGTTCTGCCACTGCCTTGTTTGCTGCCGCTGCTGCGTTTTTTGCTGCTGCCGTTGCTGCTGCTGCCTTGCTGCTGCTGCTGCTGCCCTGCACTGTTTGCTGCAGAGGCTTCTGTGCTGCTGCTTGCTACAGCGCCCTGAAGCTGCAGCTGCTGCAGCTAACGGAGCACCGGGAGGCTGAGGAGAAGCGGCAGCAGCAGCAGCAGGAGCAGGAGCAGCTGCAGCTGCAGCACGAGCTGCGCGAGCTGCAGCAGCAGCTGCAGCAAGTGCAGGCAGACAGGAAAGAGCTTGCTGCTGCTGTAGAGCGGCTGCTGGACCAGCGGCAGCAGCTGCAGCAGCAAATAGAGGACCTGCAGCGCGGCGGGTCGGAGACCCAGCAGCCAAAGGATGCCCAGCAGCAGCCAGCTGCAGCGCAGCAGCAGCAGCTGCAGCAGCAGCAGCAGCAGCAACTCAACGTCGCTGAGCTGCTGGAAGCTGCTGAGGACAAAATGAGACGTTTTGTGACTCAGGCAAGCAATTTGCTGCTGCTGCTGCTGTTATTGCTGCTGCAGCTGGTGGGGCTGGCAGCGTTGCTGCTGCTGCTTGAATGCCCCTCTGCTGCTGCTGCTTTTGCCGCTGCTGCTGCAGATGCAGGAAGTGGCTGCCACTTTGTGCGTGGAGCAGCAGGAGACCAGCAAACTGCTGACTGAGACGCAGCAGCAGCAGCAGCAGCTGGCGGAGCAGAAGGCCACAGCAGATTTCTTCCGGAGCGAGTGCACGCGACTGCAGCAGCAGCTCCAGCAGCAGCAGCTGCTGCTGCAGCAAGCCAACAGCAGGGCTTCCCTTGCGGAGCAGCGCTGCAGGGAACTTGAAGAAGCAGTACAAAGATCGCAGGAGGAACTGCATGCATTGAAACAGCAGCAGCATCGGGAGCAGCGGGAAGCAAGTCAGCAGCAGCAAGCTCTTCATTCCAAGGAGCTGCTGCTTGTCGAGCTGCAGCAGCAGCTGCAGCAGCAGCAGCAGCAAGCCACCGCAGCAGACGTGCAGCACGAAGAGCGCTGCGCCTCCCTCCAGGTGCAGCTGCAGCTGCAGCAGCAGCAGAACGCAACGTTGCTGCAGCAGCACAAACAAGACACGCAGCAGCTGCAGCAGCAGCTGGCCAACCTAAGCGATGTCTTGAGAGAAAGGCAGTCGCAGCACGCCGAAGCCAGAGCAGCAGCAGCAGCAGCAAAAGAGGAGCTGCAGAAAATCAAACCGACTGTGGGGTGCGTTCAGTGAGAGCAGCAGCACCTGCAGCAGCTGCAGCAGCAGCAGCAGCAGCAGCAGATTTAGCACAACAGCTGCAGCAGCACCAGCGGCAGTGTTTCTAGGAGCACGTGATATATGCAGTGGTGTTGCTGCTGCCTCGTCTGAAATATGTGGCGCTGGTGTGTTGTTGCTGCTGCTGCTGCTGCAGGCAGCTGGAACAGCAGGTCGTGGAGCTGCGCGTTCGTCTGGAGGAGAAGGAGAAAGTCATTTGGTTGCTGCAGCAGCGGGCTAACGCTTACCTAGAGAGCAGCAGCAGCGGCAGCAGCACCAGCAGCAGCAGCCGTTCTTTGACTGCTGCTCAGGGCGCTGCTGACGGACAGCCTGCCGCTGCTGCTGCAGCTGACAGCCCTGACGCAGCAGCAGCAGCAAAGGGGCTGCAGCAGCAGCTGCAGCAGCTTCAAGATGAACTTGAGAGCTGCAAAGCCCTAAAGCAGCACTGGCAGCAAGCTGCCGTTGAGGCACAGCAGCAGCAGCACCGCAGCAACGAGCAGCAGCAGCAGCTGCAGCAGCAGCTGGAAGAAAAAGTAGATGCTGTAAATCAGTTAAAAGATAAGCAACAAGAACTGGAGACTTTAGTAAACGAAAAGGTGGGTTTCCCTCTGCTGGTGCTGCTGCTGCTCTTTGCCTCCTGAGGCTGAGGCTACTGCTGCTGCTGCTGCTTCTATTGCTGTTTGCCTGCTGAGGTTGCTGCTGCTGCTGCTGCGGGGGGTTTTGTGGGTGATTGATGTGGGGTGCTGCTGCGTGTGAGGTGTATAGACACTGCAAATCGGGCAGCTGGAGGCGAGCGTGGCCGCGCTGAAGCAGCAGCAGCAGCAGCAGCAGGACGCCGCAGCAAGCGCAGCAGCAGCAGCGGCAACGACTGACAACTTGCGGCAGCAGCTGCAGCACCTGGAAGGAGAACTCGAAAGGGAAAAGAAAGCAGCAGCAGCAGCAGAAGCTCGTTACCGAAGGGAGGTTGACGCGAGAACAGCAGACATGCAGCAGCTGCAGCGCGCCGAGCAGCAGCAGCAGCAGCAGCAGCTGCTGCTGCTCTCGCTCGAGAAGGAGCTTGATACAACCAGAGCTGAACTCAAGAGCACACGGTACGCCCTAGGGCTAGGCGCCTAGGGTGCAAAGATTAGGGTTTAGGGTTTAGGGTTTAGGGTTTAGGGTTTAGGGTGTCTTAGCCTTTTTTGTGAAGGTCTCAGTTCATGCCCACTGGGCTCTCTGCCTTGGGAGGTGTTGGGGCTAAGAACTAATTCCCGTAGGCTCTAGGGTTTAGGGTTTAGGGTTTAGGGTTTAGGGTTTAGGGTTTGCGGGCAGATCTGCTGCGGAAGAGGAGAGTTTGTCGCTGGTGAGAACAAACGCCAGTTTGCTGCGGGACGTGGAGCGGCTGCGCGCTGAGACAAAATCCTTAAACGACAAAATCAAACAAATGTAGGGTTTAGGGTTTAGGGTTTAGGGTTTGGGGGCGGCGAGGGCTTTTGCTGCGCCTTCAGCGCTCGTGTCCTCTCCTAAGTTTCTTCTCCTTTTGTGTTATTTTATTTATTTGTTTATTTTCTTTTTGCTTCTTTGTTTATTTCTTTTTATTGTATTTTTTATCTTTTTTAATCTTCTTTTGTTTCTTTTTGCTGCAGCTCATTTATTTGCTTTTTTGGCTGTCTTCTCTTCCTTCATTTGCGGCTCTAAAAGCCTTTTGATTTTCTTGCTTCTGCCCTTCCTAGGGTTTAGGGTTTAGGGTTTAGGGTTTGGGGTGGAGGCTTGTTGTGTGGGTGTCTGCAGCATCTCAGAAAAAGAGGCCGCTCCTTCTGACT